AATTAATAGGGGCATTTAAAAAGTGGGGGCACAATGTTTTTTAACATGGGATAGCTATACGATGAATTTTGTGTGTGTGGACATGGGGTATGGCGCATGCACAGTTTTCACTGAATTTAATGAACTGTCTGCTCGCGCACAGTGACAGGCACAGCTTAAAAGTGTTCCATTGCTCGATGAGTCGATGCAGTCTATGATAGTCGAATGTGTATTGACTTAGTATAGTACATGCGGCTGAAAACCACTGCCGAGACTTTGGAAATGAAAATTGAAATTGCCACGTCAACTCTTGTTTCTTTTCAGGATTTTCCTTATTTTGAGACAGTAACAAAATTTACTTTCATCAAGTTCCATGATTTGAATAATTCCATAGATTTTTAAGTGTCTCTGTGTCTGCAAAGGTCCAAATCCCCTCTGTTAATCTACTTCATAATTCATATTTATTGTAAAACCTTATGAAAAAGCTGAAGACGAACACCAGGAAACAAGCGAGTTCTTGATCCATGTACTGTATGACGTGTTTAAGGCAACCTACTATTTCTTTCAACCTGGCTTGAGCATCATAGGCTTGGAAATGTGCCAATATTGATTATTTTTTATGATCAAATTCAGGATTTTGGGTAATTTTTTATTGGTCGCTAAAGGACTTTGATAATGTGAATGACAATTTCTGTGTGTTTTGATACTACTTGAGTAAGCTGGTGCATCAAATGGAAATGATAGGTCAAATTGTATACAGTGTAGCAGCAGTAATTAAATGACAGGCCTGCACTTTATTCTAGGTCTCTGCTAAAAAAGTAGGGGTTTCCAAGATATTTTATTTAAATAGAAGTTATTTTGAAGTTCTCATTTAATTTTCTCCTTTCTATAATATACCGGTAGTGGGATTTACACCATGGACCAATCCTAAAATAGCATGGCACTTTTTGTCCCCCTGTCTCACCATCTTAGCCAATTTGGAATCTAAGGATTCTAGGGAAGCCTCTAGGAAATTAATTTTTCATTAATGGATGGGTTACTTTCATCTCATTCTTATCTATAACTACAGGGAGAGTACATGTAAGAGAAGACTATTTTAACTTGCATGTAGCCCAGTCCCTTCTCTCCCCCAAATGTACAAAACCATTTGATTCACTCAATGTTTAGATTATGCTTCACTGGTAGTGGTAGACCCCAGACGTGTCATTGACTCACGAGTGCAAATATTGAGATCCATCATTGAAACTCAAAATGAACATGTGTACACAATACACATGCATGTATTTAAAGATTTTTGTGTTAAAATTAATCCAATAACATTTTTGTGTGTGAGAAAATATCAAATAACATGAAACCCCTCCCCATCAAAATTAAACAAAAATCTGCATGAGGAACAGGGAGCAGTTTCTCAAAACTGTCAGGCTAACTTTTCGGTAGGCTTGAGTCGGTACGGTCGATCACACTGGGACCCGACCGTTGCCGTCGGGTCCCGGTTTCGTTTTTTGAGAACCGATGCTCCGAAAAAAATAAGGAAATATGTAAGAAATTGCAGTTTTGCACACCACTAAAATCAATCCACCTTAAAACTTAAGTATTTAATGGTTACCAATTATATTCTAGCTCATCCTGAATCAATCCGAACTGCTGATATAAATATGGGTTGCAATTAGGCAGTTCGCCCCATGGGGTTGTTGTTGCCAGCTGCTAGCTAGCTACTGTACTGGTCGGGTCTCTCGGCAGGAATCAGGTTGAAAGAAACATTAATGTTTGAATAATAAAACGGCTTTCTAAAAGTACTTCTTTGCAACATCCCGACCGAATAATTTTTAAAAGACAAAATATATATTTTTTCTTTGATTTTGAACACCGCATGCTTCTTTTAAAAGCTGAAAATTACTTGGTAATCACAAGAAGTTTCCATACGGATAGCTGTTGCAAGGCAAGTTCAGACTAGTCTCGGAAAAATGCGCACTGTGCTCCTCGTTAGCTGTAATGCGTGCCAGAACGAACCCAAAAAAAGACGTGATCGTAACGAGAAAAAAAATCATTAAAAACTACGAGAGCACAATTGGATTGACAACTACTTAAAATTATCGTAAGCAGATACATAACTTGGAGGAAGAAAACAATAGTTGTCCAAGAAAAGCCACATAAATAGTGATATTTTAGGAGTTACTATAGGTACAATCATTATCGGAAGGGCCTGCTGCAATATCCGAATTACACGTGTTTAAATTGAACACGAGGCTATACGAGGCAAATACCGCCCTCTACGGTAAAAAGCAGTTTAACAAAGGATTCAAGTATTTGCAGCAGGCTCCTTGCGATAAAAATGTACTCAGTTACTCCTCGATTATCACAATTTCTGTGGCATTTCTTGGGCGATTAATGAATTCTTTGTCCAAGTTATCTATCTGATTATGGTAATTTTGAGCAGTAGTTGTCTTTCCAATCGTGCTCTCGTAGTTTTTAATGATTTTTTTCTCGTTACGATCACGTCTTTGTTTGGGTATGTTCTGGCATGCATTACAGCTAATTACGAGGAGCACTGCGCATTTTTCCGAGACTAGTCTCAACTTGCCTTGCAACGCTATCCGTATCGAAACTCTTGATTACCAAGTAATTTTCAGCTTTAAAAAAAAAGCATGCGATGTTTAAAATAAGAGATATATATTTGTTTTGTCTTTAAAATATTATATGATCGGTATATTGCACAGAAGAAATTTTTAGAAAGCCGTTTTATTATTCTAACATTCATATTTTTTGACCAGATTTATTCAACCTGCATGAATCGAAATGGCGGCTCGAATGTTGTCTTTACATTTCTGCCCCAGTTTTTTTACTTTTAGAGGCACGATAATGGCACTAAACATCGCCAATCATGGATGAAAATAATGTCAAATGGAAGAATATACCGATCTGAGCCGAGGTATGCATGTGCTTATTAATTTGATTGATAAAAAAGGTCACTTTTAAGGGACATACTGATGATATGCGCTTTTTATAGAGGCAAGTGACAAATCCTGCGAGCTGATTTCGGGACACCGGGTCCCGATCGGTACATGGCCGTCGGGACCCGGTTTATGAAAATCCCGACATGACTCAGGCCTACTTTTCGGACATCCCATTGGAACGCATGTTCTAGAATCAACACGCATTTCTATGGGATGTCCACAAAGTTAGACTTATGACGGTTTCAAGAAACTGGCCCCTGATACATGTTAGTGAACATGTACTGTACATGCAATGACAAGTGACTTTATAAGTTCATGTACAGTATGTATACCACGGTCTTCAATGCAGATGAGTTGATCTCTGTAGGAAAGCGATGGTGGTGTTTGCTTTCTGGCAGGTGTTAGTGATGTCAGTTTTTACTTCAGGTCCTGTGTCATGGTAATGCCCTTGGTAGCATTGAACAAAACTGTCTTAAACAATTTGGCTGACAACCCATTGAACTGAGTGATGTCAATGGGATGTTTTTTTTCTTCAAACAGTTTCTTGTAACGAACCCCAGGTATTTGATGGATATCACAGGGTCCAGGGTAGCACTGTCCAGGAACTAGTGCTGGTGAATTGGTAGTTGTGTCCTTTTTCTTGTGACAGTAATGGCAAGTTGTTTTTGTTGGTTTCATCCTCCAATCTGAAACCCATTTGCTTAGTACACTTTACATGAAGGTCATTTTGGAAGTCAGCAGTGTCTTGCTGTGACTTGATAGTTAGGTATGCCTATTATCAGCAGGGGCTGGACAGTTGATGACACAATGTTTGGCATGTCGATGTCATGCATACATGTAGAGAAGAGAAAGAGGTATGGTCCAAGGACTGATCCCTGTGGGACTCCATCTCACCAGATTGTGCTTGATCAAGGATGAGTCTTGTGCCTCTACCTCCTGTTACTGATAAAGTTAATGAAGTTTTGTTCTACTATACCATAGTGGTTTAGCTCCTGAAGAACCCTCCCATGGCAAACTTTATCAAAGGCTTTGATGAAACCTGTGATGAGCATGTTAGTCTAGTTTTCCCCACCATGGTGTTGGTGAGGTCACTGATGTACAATGTACATTCGTAGCCAAGCAGCACATGATCTTTTTCTATTGGACTCTAGATGTATTTCACAGAGGAAGAGGATGTTATTATTGCTTGATTTGCTCCGTATGTCATGTTGTTGGGAGGAATAATATGTTCAGCATCCATACATGTTTAGCGGCTATGGGCAGTAGTTTCTTGGATCTGTCTCGTGACCTTTCTTGTGGATGGGCACTATGTTTGCATGTCTCATGTTTTTAGGCACTTCCAAGATCCCATCAGTCTTATATGATCATCTGAATGTGATGTATAAGATAGGGGTGATGATGAAGACCCATTCATTTCACGATTCAAGATTAATGCCATCTGGGACTTGAAAACTATTCTTCTTTTCTTTGTTTGTACCAAAACACAAGACCCCTGACACAGATCATAAGTGAATAAAAAGTGATATGGCTTGGCCATATACTTGTACTTTGTAGGAAAGAAGATAGAAATTCTACATGTACATTGTACATGAAATATGGTGTTTGATTGGAAACTGTCGGAAGAACAACGATAGGAACGCCCATAAATACGTGGAGGAGAACAGTAGACAATAACCTAAGACACTGAATACAATATTCAGACAGAGCGGCGCGAAACCACGTATTTCGGTGTGCAAGCTAAAGAGAGTTTACGAGTGGCTCAAGTTTTGTAGAGGAATATTGCCCACTACCCAAAATGGCAGAGACATTTTTTTTTAAATAACAATTTTATTTTTGAATGTTAAGAAGCTTCATTGGAAATAGATCTCAGCAATGGGATTTACAGCAGAAATCTTTTCTCTAAAAATGGGTTGATTGGCGGTCAGTTACGTGGTGTATCGAAACAGCGTGGGTATTGTTAGGCTCCCAGAGAGCTGACATTGCAACACAGCCTCTTTCTCCATCTACATGTACAAGTTGCGGCCCTTATACTCCATAATCACAATGATGCCATTTACAAGTGTATGAAGGTAACGATCCCAAATCAAGAAGATTTACTTACAAAGTTGAGTTTAAAAAAACACTTTGTAGTGCCATGCCTTACGAAAAATGGATCACAGTTCAATTGTGCGATGTGCTTGGTACTATTTGATACACCCAAATCCCTAAATTGAGACAGGTGGCTCATTATAACTATGCAGACTAATCATAATTTGATTGGGATTTTTGCAAAGTCAGGAGAGAGGGAGAGTGAGAGTAGGGGGAAATACCCTGTCTTGCCTGATTGGCACCAACCAGGCGTTTCCACAGGAAGCAGTAATTTGGCGCATCCTGCCGCTCCGCAGTATGACACATGGTTCTCCCCTTCCCCATCGGGTTGTCTCCTACACATTGTAGTCCTGCAGATACCTTCAACGCATATGTCACCCGTCGTGTATGTTGTAGTCCAACCGTGTGGGAGCTCTATTTGCAAACTGCATGCAAAATCCTGCACGTTGCACTTCGTAGTGGATAGATTGTGAGTTGGTCTAACTTGAGAGCCTGGTCCTGTCAACATGGAAGGCTTGGACTTGTTCTGGCAGCAGAGGGAAGACCCCATCTCGGTTGTAGACCCCTCGGCAGTCTTCGGAGAGCTCTTGTTCAACGCGGACATTGCAAGAAACCGCTGTGTAAGTGACTCTTCCGCTATCCCCCCTACCCTTGTCACCAATGCCTTGGTCTCATCGGGTCATACTGACCACTATTCTAAGAGCAGTTCCTGGGACCTGTTTCATTGAACCTACACCTGCCAAATTTATCTGGCAAGTTTGCTTACAACCGATGCATACAAGTACATTTTAATTGCTTTCCGTTGATTAATGATTTTTGTTTACCAGTATCAAGTTTTATCAAACAGCCAGGGCCCAGATTTGTTTTCAATAAATGAGTTTGATGTTTTCACATCTGTGGCACTATTCATTTGTACAGGAACCATTTGTAACAATCAGATATATGCTGGTAACACTGAACAATGCACAGTTACTAGTGCATATCTTTGTGGGGTTACTTAATTTTTTTCTTCATTCATTACCCTTTTTTTTAATTTTACAGTGGTTGTGGAAACAAGGTTTACTCAAGGTTTTAAACCACAAGCAATCCTATGATTTGAAACTACAAGCAGCGGAATGGGGGTCCTCACTTGAAGTGTTAGCTCAATTTCAATTAACTTTGAAGTTTTGCTCGCCCAGCTTGCAGTTTGAAACCTCGAGCAGCCATTTTTTAAAAACTTCAAAGTTTCACAAACATAAAGTTTAAAACTAACATGTGGTATCCATTAGAAGCTACATGTAAATTGTAGGTTTGGCTAAGCTCCTCCCCTCCAGAACTACATGGTACATGTACCTTGTAAGCCGTGGCCCAGTAATTTTACTCTCTATGTGTAAAAAATGGTAAAGAGTTACCGACAGCATGTACTTGTGGATACAGTAAAACCTGATGTAGCGACCACCTGTCTTTAAAGACAAATTTCTTTGTTACCCTTGAAAAATTGTTTCTTATTGACAAATGTACTAAAAGAATCTGTATATTAAGACCACCTGCCTCAAAAGACCACTTTATTAACTCATTTGAGCGGTCTTTGTATACAGGTTTCACTGTACTACATGTAATTCCGAGGTCCTTCAGAGAGATGCACCCTGAACTTTAACATTGTAACTAATCAAAGTTGTTTATTTCTGTCTGGCTAGAGATTGTAAACCTGTAGGAAACCATCAACTTCCTTTTCCTTCACAACAGGTTGCGAAAAGCATACCGCAGTTGCATGCACTTAGCCGGCCGGCTCCCCATGCTTTGTCCTGTGTCCTGTGTCCCCACGTATTCACTTCTGTGTGTGTAATTCCCGCATAGTTTCAAGACACTTCATACATGTGTTCTTGTGAAGTAGGCGTGTCTGTTTCACTTCTGGATAACTTCACAACCTGAAACTCGTGCTTGGCTTCAAGTTTTCCATCGTTAATCGGAGGAACTTATTAGATATCACTTCGGATCTGTCTCCATTTTGTTTCCGTTTCATACGAGGAGTAGTATAAATGCAAGAAAATCTGACAAAACTGGCATCCCAGGAAGTTATTTCTCAAGATCAATCTACACACTTCTCAAGTGCTTGTCATATAATTCTAATATTAGTTCCTGGTGTGTTTTCAGTAATTAAGTTTGCTTGTCAAATCTGTGCTCTGTCTCTGTACATAGAAAGCTAGTGTCATGAATGGCTTCACAGGAATGGAGGTATGTAGGTTTATTTTTATTTTTATTTCCTGTTTTAACAGAGTATCAGTTTTGAGTAGTTTACTGAGATCTACAAATCAGATTATGGTGCATTGCTGATGTATTGAGTGGTTCCACGATTCTGGTTTACACCATGATAAACCAATTTGTCAATTTACATGTTGCAAATTTAAGAGACTTTGATAGTATTTTGTAGTTCTTGAATTCAATGTTCTAAAGCTGTGTTTGAGGATGAATTGGGTGACTCCATAATTCATGTATTAATGTATGAAGGAAGGATTGTTGATTTGTTTTGCATTTTTGAGAATTATTATCTATGAATGTTTAAACTACATTTACAGTATGTGCCTGTGATTGCTATTGCAGTATACATGTATACATGTACCTGTACATGTAAGAAACTTAAAAGATTCAATACATTTAATTGGAGAATCTTTGAATTCGAAGAACAATGGAAAATGATGACAACAAATTGACTTGTTTTAATATAATCCTCTTTGTTTTGAATTGAATCAAAGATTCAAGATTCAAGATTCAAATAAGGTTTTATTCATGACTTGTCAAAATGTCCAAGGACTAAAAATGCAAGTTTACATCAATACAAAAAGCATTCAAAAACATGTGTACATATACATATAAAGATAACATAGCAAATGAGAACAAATATATAACAATGAATAAATGTTTAAATCAAAACATTAAAGTAGTAACAAACAAAAAGGATTAAAAAAAAAAAAAAAAAAAAAATACAAGATATGAAATATTGCTAACGAAAATGAATAAATGTTTACATCAAAACAAATAAAGTGTATACAGATACGTGAGTTCAATTAAATTAAATTAACTGTAACATTCGTAAATCATCGTCAGCTGTTGTCCTTTACTCCTTTTCCTGTATGGAAATTATTTTAGTAGAAGTTTAACCAAAATATTACTGTTTGTTAACATTTGCCATTATAATACATTTTATATCTTACACAGGGGATACATGTACATGTACATGTAACTGGTAGTGTAATTAGTTCCTTTAATTCAATTTACTTCATTATCTAATGATCAGAGTGCATTTCATGCAGTGGCTAAAGCTGTCGTACCTGCCAGTGTAAAATACAAACTGAGCTTTATACATGAGGCCCATTTACACATCCAAAACACCAGTTTGAAAAATCATCAATTTTTTTGACTAACATTTAACTACTGGAAAAACATTAAAAACCGTTGAAGTTTGCTAATACCATTTTCTAGATGAGGATAGTCATGTACCGGTAAGCAAAATCATTATTTTGAATACCGAAGTTTGCGTACACTGCTAGATACCATTGACATTTTGACAGGCGCTTAATAAAAACACACTCCAGAGGTGAATTTTTTAATTTTGTATTTATTTATTTATATTTCAATGTTTCATAGCAACGTCGGGCAAAACTCTGTAATGTGAGAAAAATCAATGATTTTTGGGTGCAGTGTAAATGCAGCTACAGTATACATGTACAATGCATGTAGTGCTTCTGGCACTGATCTCTAAAGTCATGTGCAAGTACAGATTATCCTGGAAATGCATTTGGAAGTGAATTGATTTTTTAAAGCTGCCCTAATAAGATTATCACTCATTAGTGAGTCATGTAACAGTTTGATGGAAACTGATTTTTTTTTTTTTCCTAGCTGGAAAAATCTTTAAGCTACAGTCCCATATACGATACGTCCCGGACCGTCCCGGACCATCCCGGACCCCATCCGGGGTGATCCGGGATTCGGTCCGTGTTGACACCGTGTTGGCACCGGGGTGGTCCTGGATGGTCCTGGATGGTCCTGGATGGTCCTGGATGGTCCTGGGCGGTCCGGGAGTCGACCCCGGATGTTTTTGACGGTCAAAAACTGCCGGGGTGGTCCGGGACGGTCCGGGACAATAGTTTGATCCGGGGTGATCCGTGTAGCCACCGTGCTGGGTCCGGGGTCATCCGTAGTGGCGCCGGGGCGGTCCGTGTTGATCCGTGGCAGTCCGGGAGTGAGTTATTGACCGCCCAGGACCATCCAGGACCATCCAGGACCATCCAGGACCACCCCGGTGCCAACACGGTGTCAACACGGACCGAATCCCGGATCACCCCGGATGGGGTCCGGGATGGTCCGGGACGGTCCGGGACATATATGGGACTGTAGCTTAAAAGCATCACACTTTTTTTGAACAAAACATCCCGGACCATCCCGGATCACCCCAGACCATGGTCCGGGATGGTCCGGAGTGGTCCGTGCTCGTCCGTGCTGGTCCGGCGTTATATGGGACTGGGGCTTAACATTGAACAAATGGTTGTATTATAATGTATAGAGTAGGATTTTCCAACCGGTTCCCTGAAAAAAAAGAACAAGAACAAAAGTTGTATGAAGTTACTGCATTTTGTTTTTTCCTATTTCTTTCTCTATCTTCTGTGTAATCTTTCATTTCTTAAAAAAAATAATTAAGTTATGTATGTTATAACATTTTTTAATCAAGGTTTTTAAGGTGTACTTTGTCCCTGTATTGTCTCATTTTACAGGCACTAATATGTGCATGATAGTCTTACAGTTCGTTGTTCAATGATTTCGATCACTTAAAGTTGATGCAGTTTTTTTCTTCCAGGCACTGTAGTGCATTAAGGCCGATAGCGTATCAGTTTGTGTACTATAAAACAATTTTTTGAGTTCATGCAAATAATAATTTGTTTTTCTTTTGTTGTTTTTGCTTTACAGCCCCCGTTGGTGCAAGCCGTTTTCTACGGAGATGCCGATGAAGTCAGGGCCTTGCTCTACAAGAAAGAAGATGTGAACAGCACGGTAAGTCCCTCTGACAGGAGATTAAATCACTTGTTGTTGCAATTACTTTTCATTTACCACATCAAGATTTGCCCCATGTTTCATTTCACCAAATATATATTTCTATTTGGGCTTACATATTGTAGGGCTATGGCAGGGGTCCACACTAATTAACTTTTGTAGGGTCCAGTCTGCAATTTCTAGGTTCAAGTCTGCAATTTCTAGGGTCAGTATGCATGAGCGGATGAACCCCTTGCTTAAAATTTCGAAATTATTCAGGAGCCAAGGGAAAAGAGTCGACTTACCTGTAAACAAATTGTATTCCTTGCTCTAGTTTATTTGTGAATGAGTATAAACATACTCGGATGTCTACATGTACATAGTAAATCTGCATGGCCATTTAAATTTATAAAAAAAAATTAAAATATCAACAGAAAATGGTTTCCTTGATTTGTCAGAACAACTGTTTGTACCGATAGACATATTGTCTCCTTATACAGTATCATTCTTACACTGTATCATTCTTACACTGTAGTTCAGTTCTGAAAAATCATAGAAAATTGACAACCATTCTCTGTAACTAGGTCACATTTACATGTAGGCCTAATATTTCTTGCCTTATCTCTCCATTCTCTCTTTCTCTCTGCTATTTTATTTGTTGATTGCATGATTGATAAATGAGCAAATTTGAAACCAGTGAAGTGCACTTTTGATGACCTAAATATGGATACAATAACATGCCATACAGCCTCAGTTGGCTTGATTTATTGAGAGAGCTGTCTTCATCCGTACATGTACAAGCAATTCAATATCTCGGTATGCTTAGTCTATGGTTCCAGACCCTCTACTTCTATAATCATTGATGTACGACACATGCTCAAGCGAAATATTGCTCTGAGGGCAATGGGGCTTGGACTAGCAACTCGGTACCCAGAGATGCCAACCAGTACGATTTAATCGCATTTAGTACAATAATAAGAGTGGAATACGATAATACAAAATCACCTCTTAAAATACGATTTTCAACAAAACAAAAACAAAAAAAAACAAAAAAAATTATTTTTAATCCATAAAAAACGTGGTATCGCATAGAAACATGTACAAGTAAACCCCCGCAACCTAAACAAAAATTTTGCTTTACAATTTTCTCTTTAAATTTTAATGAAAAAGCAAACATTTTACTTGACCGTACTTACCAGTAAAACATTTTTCTGAAATTTTACTGGCCCGGGGCAAACGGGGCCATTGCTAGTGTCGAGCTTTCGTGAAAATCTGATTTTTCTCTTCAAAATCTGATTTTTTAGGATAATCAGTCTGTTTTTTTGGTGTCAAGAGCCTGGCATCTCTGGGTACCCAGGTCCTGCCTGAAAGTTTAGTGTCACGGTTACAAAAATGCCGTTACCTGAAATGGGATGGCAGTGAAAAATAAGCCCATTAAATGTTAAGATTTTTAGCAATCAAATAAACCAGGACATGCGAACCTGGGCTTATATCGGTATATTCTCCCATTTGACATTATTTTCATCCATGTTTAGCGATATTTAATGCTATTATGCCTCTGAAGGTACAACAGTTCTGGTAAAAAGAGAAAGACAACATGTTAGCCGCCATTTGGATTCATATAGGATTAAGGAATCGTGCTTCAGAGCAATAATATTGTTAGAAAAACAAAACGGCTTTCTGAAAATTGTTCCATTTTTTAACTGAAAAATTCCCTTGAAAACAAAAACAGCAATTGTTGCCAGAGGGTTCTTTTGAGCACCGAACCATGACATGATCACCATTATAAGATCTAAATACGTGTAACTATTTACACATATTACAGCATGAACACGTACATGTATACAGAAATACTTAGTCTTTGACTTTAGACTTTTGGAGAAGTCAATATCTATGGTCTCTTTTAGAGGGGAAGTTGCAATCATATTAAACACAAATTGGCAACACTGTGACATATCTTTCATTACTATTGAAACCAACTTAATATCAGGGTGGACTTCGTTTATATCAAATGCGTACAGATCTGGCTGTTAGAGGTGTTATAAGCAGCTACATGTACATGTACTGAAGAGTTTAGAACTACATTGCGCATGCTTATAGGTTTCAATAACTATTTACCTCATTAGATTCAAATTTAGTTGAGCACAGTATATTCATTAAAAGAGAGTGCTACGATAAGAACTTAATCATTTATTGAAAATATTGATACAAGGACAAATGGATGTAAATTAAGTCTGAACGCAGAGCCTAAGTATTGTGTAGTGGCCAATTAATAATATCAAATATTTAGGTGGGATAGGGAAATCTGTATTGCATGGTAAATAGAGTTGAATGGAGTAAATTGTTGACAGTTGGAATACTTGTACGTGACAATTTGGGAATCACTCAGTGGAGAGAGAGAGAGAGGGGGGATGGGGGAGTGTAGGAAGAGAGGAAGGGATGGAGGGAGGGAGGGAGGGAGGGAGGGAGGGAGGGAGGGAGGGAGGGAGGGAGGGAGGGAGGGAGGGAGGAAGGAAGGAAGGAAGGAAGGAAGGAAGGAAGGAAGGAAGGAAGGAAGGAAGGAAGGAAGGAAGGAAGGAATGAAGGAAGGAAGAGAGGGGAGGGAGGGGGAGGGGGGGGGGGGGGGGGTAAGTGAATTAAAGGGGAAGTGAGGTAATAATAATAATAATAATAATAATAATAGCCTAATAATCCACTCCAAATTTTATTAAACCGAGGTGAATTAGAGAAGAGACTAAAAGAGGGTAGATAGAGAGAGAGAGAGAGAGAGAAAGAGACAGAGACACACAGAGAGACAGACAGACAGAGAAATGGGCTATTTTTTTGTGGGGGGGGGGGGGGTGTTGGGTTCATACAGTGTACATGTATAGGGAGAGAAAGTTTGATCAATGCATAGATCTTTATAAGTTTCTTGCATCCAAAACTACATGTAGCACAATCCACAGTATGCCTGTACACACAAGCTATGGAGCAAGGCGGCAAGCTGTCACAGTGCGCTTTGCATCGCTCGGAGATCACTCATTCATCTTCTTGGAACAGTCTGTTTGTCCATGCTTGACAATCTGATGAAAACAGAAGGAATCTGAACTAGGAGAGACTTGACCTAACCATGCTTCAAGAACCCGGAGCAGAAGGAGAGAGAAGGTTACTGAGAAGAAGAAGGAGGAGGAGGAGGAGGAAGAGAGAGAGAGGGAGAGAGAGAGAGAGAGAGAGAGGGAGAGTGAGAGGGGATAACAAGGAGAAGGGGGAGGTGTGATTAGGAGGAGGAGAGTGAGGAGAAGCAGAAGCAAGAGGAGGAGGAGGAAGAAGAGAGAGAGGGAGAGACAGAGAGAGAGGGGGGGAAGGGAGGAGGGGCGATTGGGAGAAGGGGGAGTGAGGAGGAGGAAGAGAGAGAGACTGAAAGAGAGAGAAAGAGAGAGAGAGGGGGGATGAGGAAGAGGAGGTAGATAAATAAGAAGAAGGAGTAGGAGAAGTATTAATTGACTATTAATCAGGAATAATGTTAAAGAAAGAGAGATAGAGATCATCTAGACGTATGATCAAGAAGGGACAGGGGGTGGGGGCAGCTACATGCTATCACAATCCTAATTACCGGTACACCGTTTCTTTCACTCACTCATCTGGTCAGACCCTATGTTTGTCCATGCTTGACAATCCGATGATAAAAGAAGGAATTTGAACTAGGAGAGACTTGACCTTGTTTCAGCCATGCCTCAAGAAATCCTGCCCCCTCCATTTACAACACAGTTTATAACTGATTGACCTGTATAAATCTCCATCTGTGCAGAACTTAACCATGTACATGTACATGTACTGCATTGTATTAGCTAATGGGTTCAGTTTTCAGGGCTTTTGACACTGGGGTTTGAGAGTCTCATTCACATTGCTGTTTGAACCGCTTGACCTGTATAAATCTGCATTTGTAAAAGTGCTCTACAGTGATTTTTTTAGATGACAGTGGGTGCAGTTTCAATCAGATTGATAAAGGCCCTACATTAATAATAATAATAATTTGGATTGATATAGCGCTTAATACGATATATCGTCTCTAAGCGCTTTACAAATATTATTACCCCGTCCTCAAATTCATTCATGCACAATGTGCACCATCTCCACTCACTGGGGAATATTCCTACCGTATGGTCACTCTGAGGGCATACAGGTGTAGGCAATTACTATCACATTACAACCATGTAGAGAAGCATAAAGTCTACAAAGCTTTCGAAAATGGATGGTGGGGGGGGGGGGGGGGGTGTTTGTAAGAATAATTGAGACACACTTACATGCCCACAGTTGTACAATGCAAATGTACATGTATGCAGAACACCCCTCCCCCATCCCTCCAAAAAAAAATGGAGCATAACCCTCTTTGGTTTCGAAATTTCTTTTGATGACACCCTACCCTTTCATTTCCCATCACATACACACACATGCAAAAGTTCCATAGATGTCCAGTGTGAAAGCATACTTTGTTTTCTTTTGTAAGGGAATCATAATTATTTGAGAACTTGTTGATGTTATATAGCAGAATGAGCCTTGCATGTACATTACAAGTATAATCAATCTACGCATGTATATGTTGAAAGATTTGTCAGGGGAAGTGAAAACTCGAAATCTAAAGTTTGAAAATCAGAAGTTGTCGACCTACATGTACAAACTACATGTAGCTATCAACTTGATGGCATCATTTTATGTGCAGTACGCATATTCATAATGACTTTGCATTAATTAAGCATGTCTCATCACCTCAGATATACACATGTAGACAAGCCGGTCGGTCCACATATTATGTCGTCATGGCAACTGCACCAAATTGTAACCCGGTTGACCCCTAATTTGGAGGGGTGCGGAATATGATGTTTTAATTTGCTTTTGTGCAATACTGAAAAGGAAATAACTTGTATTCCTTTATATTTGTATTCAACGTTCAATCTGCTTTCCATTGTTATAAAGTTGTATTTTCATTGAACAGGGCCTTTAAATAAATGTAAAGCCGTCTCACATTTTATCCTTATTTCCTTCTTATCTCAACAGGATATAGAGAGACGTACACCGATCCATGCTGCCGCTTTCAGAGGAGAGGCTGAGATTGTAGATCTACTTGCAGAATGCGGTACGTTGAATGTCTCTAGAATGAAAAACGTAGACGAGGGCTAGAGTGATTCGCCCCACAGACTCTAAAAATAGCCTCCGTGGTATAGCCAAATGCTCTTTGATAGATTTATATCAATGTATAAGAGTCATCTGTTGACAAGTCTAATCTCACTTGAGTAGTGCTTGTGTTTTCAGAAATGCAAACTCTGTACTTCTTAATGACATTTTTCTTTTAGAAATTCTGTTGTATGAAAATGGCGATTGCAATTTTAATTTCTACGTTCATTAATTCCTTATATATTATGATGCCTTTTGCACGTTTGTATTTGTAAGGAAATTGTTGGCTTGCACCCAGTAAATAGAGATCACATGCTCGATGGTTGAGCATGCACTCCCAGGAACCCTAACATTCAACACATTTTTTGTATTGAATGTTAAATGTTAAACATCTTTTTTTATTGGTGGAAAAATGATGAAGTATTATCCATACATGTATAAATCTAACCAGTGCCTTTAAAGCGAGATATAACTAAGGTTGGGGGAGGGAGGGGGGGGGGGGGGGGGTGACCAATACAACACTCTTCATTTGTGTAAACCTTTCTTACATGTACAGTTTGTAAGTGTATTATACTCGGGCTGTCTCCAAAGACCCTTATCACATTCTCCATATGTTCCAACATGATACACTCATGTAACCCTTCTACTGTACTTCCAAAATCTACACCATAATATTGAGATCAGTGCCTGCATTTCTATACTAAAAGGTGCCCTTTATTCTCAAGACCGAAACAAGTGATCATGTCCGTACATGTACTTTAAAAGTGAATACTAACTCTAAGGTATTATGTGAACATTCTGTTAATTAATAATTCAACTACCACATGAAAAATGTTGATACTGAGAGGGCTACTAAAATTCATTAAAAGGCTAATCCAACCGTTATAGTATAAAGAAAACACCATCCGAGTCATACATTTGTGTAAATTTGAAATTTTAGTCATTTTGTGTATTGGAACAAATTGGAAATCACAAAGACATAACCGACTCCACCGATTTGAAGAACAAACAAAATATTATAACTTCTCATTTTTTGTCCGATTTCATTCAAAGTTTCACCAGTATGCTTCTCTGATGTTTCTGCTTTCTTTTAGAATATTTTTCTATGAAGGTTGGATTTTCCCTTTAACCAGAATATATAAATATAATTGTTCCTCCCTGACAGGTGCAAGAGTGAATACCAAAGACAGCAGATGGCTGACTCCTCTCCATAGGGCTGTGGCATCCAAGAGTCAGGTGAGCTTTAGTGGGGTGTGGATGATGAAGGGGAAATGAGGAGGAGGGGGGGGGGGGGGGGTCAGGGTAAAAATATTTAAAAAAAAATTGGGGCCACTTTTTAAGCTTGCTTGCATGAAAATAACACTATTTAATTTGTTTTGCATTGAACTCTATACAAAAAAAATTGGGCTCTTTTTTTTACTTTCGGGGGTGAAGTTGCCCCGAGTCCCCGAGTATTTTTTCCCTGGGGGGGGGGGGGGGTGGTGGTGGTGGTAGGGAGGATAGATAAGATGATAGTAAGTGATAGTGATAATAATAATAATAATAATAGCTAGTTCTTATATAGCGCTTTTCAGGACCGAAGGCCCTCTCAAAGCGCTTTACATATTACTCCGGTCATCGGATTCAGGCTTATCTGCACGCAATGTATGCACATTCTCCACTCCCTGGGGAGAAAGATAGAAGCTTGGTTATGGCTTCACAGAGCAAAGTGAGTTTGGAAGAATGGGGGAATGGGTAGAAAGATGATGGAGAGGAGGAAGGAGAACAAGAAGGAGGAGAAGAGGAAGATGAAAGGGAGATGAAGGCTTGGCGTCAAAGAAAGAGCCAGGGCAGTTTGAAAGAATGTAAAGTACAAACTCCCCTTCATTTTTCTCCCAAAGGGCTGCTAAGGTTTTGAAACATATATTTGGATGGTAGTGAGAAACGGCAAGATCCTTCACAATAAAAGGACCCTGCACATACTGTAAATGAAGATAAATTTACATGTAGCATACATCCATGTTACATGGTTCCTATGTATATGTCTAGATTCTTGTCACGAAAAACTCAACAAGAACCAGTGGCTGTCTGTGGGTCTCGCAACTGTTCTGTTGTAAATGACTCATACCTTGTATACTGATGAACATTTTAACCTTCATTTGTACTTTTTGTTGGTGCTGGTGTTGCTATGACTCCTCAGTGGAGAGAATGTTGAGGTTTGTCCAAGGTTACTTCAAACGCAATTCTGATCGTTACGATGAAAATTACTGACTGATTCTTGACTTTGATCTTCAGTTATCTTGTTAGAGCCATAGGGTGGTATTCTCATAAGTTAAGCCGGGACTAAGTCCAGACTAAACAAGAATTTTAGTTCACACTTCTATGGAATGCTAGGTTTCATCTTCCTCCTTCAATATTCATGACAAAGATAATCTACCAAAAACTTTGTTGAAAACCAGTTCATACTCATATTATCTTTTTCTTCCCATTTCATTGCAAAATTAATTTTTTGAACACTTTTCATTGAAGGATTAAAATAATCTGCACAGGGTAAATTAGTTTGCAACAGGCACTCCATAGAAGTGTGAACTAACTTAGTACGCGCTAACTTAGTACGCGCTACCGGAATACCACCCATACTCTGTAACATGTGCTAATTTTTGTTTCTTTTACTGGTACTTTGAATTTACATGCTGCTTAAAAGGTAAAGACCAGTTATGGTCATGCGATTGCATTGTGAAAGAAACGTTGTGGAATCGATCAGAAAAGGTTGATCATCTAGCATCTAGCATCTGCAAGGTTCTGGAATCATCAAAATGATAAGAAATTTGGCCCATTCTTCGTAAAGTTACAAGCACTATACACAGAAAGATGTATATGGGACTACCCTTATCTCTCACAGACCATGAGAGAAATAAATTAACCAAATATATGAATTAGTAGGCGGTTTCCCGGCAAATTTTTTATCATCATGTATTAGTCAAAACATATTTTTTCACATGATTGGTAATGAGAGCTTCCATTTCATTTTTTGAAATTGGGGTGTTTCCAATACTGGTCTTTACCTGCTTTTCTATTTAATCTCCATTTATTTTATGAGATAATAAACAACAACAAGCATTTAAATTATGTAGTCATTAAAGAAACAAAATTAAAACTTTGTGTCTGTTTTTACTGCAAATGTAATATGTTGTTCCGCCTTCATATACACTGCTTAGTGCTTTTCTATGTATTACATCTTCATGTACCGTATTTGCCGGCGATAAGGCTGCAGCGCCGTATACTGTAGGCCGCACCCCCGATTTTGACATTTAAAAAAAAATAATAAAATTTGCCAAAGTCGGGATTCGATCTCTTGCGTACAAAAGTTGATGTGACTAAAATCACCGCCTTAAACCGCGCGGCCATCCCGCGCTAATAACATACACTGCTGTTTTCTGTGATGTAGTCATTGAAATGGATTGAAAATGGCGACTTCGCGTGCTGGATGCTTCGCGGCGGCTCCGTTACAAGGGCCCTTCTTTTACTTTTGCAATGCATTGGCACGAACTTAGATCAAAATCTATCGGCAGATGTTGTTTTTGGAAGTTTATTTTCATCTTCATGTCAACAATGCAAAATAAAATTGTCGGTAAGATGTGTGGAAATGTATAGTTATTGTACCGTTCGTAGATCTAGTCCCATATGCACAAATTCGTGCTGGTTTTGACTTTTTTTTTTTTTTTTCTGTTTCGGCGCAAAGGCCGCACCCCGACTTTTTGATATTTTCTCTTCCAAAAATACTGCGGCCTTTACGCCGGCAAATACGGTAGATGTATTTTATGAGATAATTAACAACAACAACAACAGCATCAACAACAAACTTTTCAATTAATTAGGCACTAAAGAAAAAACAAACAAACTTTTCAATTAATTAGGCACTAAAAAAAAAACAAACAAACTTTTTGTCTGTTAAATGTGCAACAGGTTGTTCCTTATGTAATGTACCCACTACAGCAATTTGACAAAAGTTATTTTCGAAAATAGTACATGCAGGTTTACATTGTAGATGAACTTTAAAAGGAATTTGGTAATTGTTTGCATATAAATTCAGCAAAAATATTTATTGCTTTGTCTTCAAAAGGTATGTTTGTGGTGTCAATGGTTCATTTGTTTCATTCATGGTTCATTTGTTACATTGATTTGTTACATTCATGATTGATTTCACAGGGATTGGTAAAAGGTGAATGTCAGTTGAAGCAGAAACTTACAACCTGTACATCTACAATGGTGTATGATGAAATGGGATATGGGGGTTACCATACATTTGTGTGTTGTATTGATATCTTAGTTGAAAGTGTTAAACAAAAAAACCCTCGCAAATTTAATGACTGGTCCTGACTTTGTGAGTTTGATTCCGTGAACAGTTGAGTTACAAAACTTTATTTGCAATCTTTGACAGTGTTTGCATAGAAATTGCCACCCACATCAATTCACAAAAGTTATATTATATGTTGCAAGAGAGACTTGTGACATACATGTACACCAGAGTGCCACACTCTCTGTTTTCTTAACGTTTTAAGATCATTATGTGTGTCCCTCTCTCATTCATAAGTTTTAAAATTTAGGGGGTCAGAGTTAAAATATAGAAACCATGTACTTGTACATGTATTTGTACATGACCCATAAGTATAAAGCTTTGCTGTAGTCAATAGGAATATTAACATATTTTTGTTCATCATTAAACAAGCCATTTCTTGTCACTGTCTCGAATTCGATGCAGTGTATGTATTTTATTTGTAGACACCCTGCTAAACCTGGACACTTTAAATTAGGTACAAGACAACGAGGTCTATAAAGTCTGGGGTAAAAAAATTACATGAACGGAACTCCAGCAAGTCCCAAACTTAAAGGCTATCCACTCTGTGGTAATAGCATGACCTCAATGCTGGAAATAAATGTCTGTGGTTTGTATTATAACCCTCATAATTAAATACTGTCTGGTTCTAATCTAAGAGGAAATGAGTCAGCTCACCGGGGCGCGCTTCCACTCCCTTGTTGCCAAGTAAAATATAAAAAAAAACTCTCTCTCTCTGAAACTTTGTAGCTTGCTCACTGGTTTATAATGGGGAACAAATCGAGCTTGAAACAAGCATGTTAAAAACAACAAGTGTACAGTATGTTTCATTATGATGTATGCTTGAATGCACATTACATGTTTGAGTGTAGATTTAGAATGTGTACATTACAATGTACATCTCTACATATTGTAATCTTGGTGACACATGTGAGGCGGTGTCACACAGAGGCCCAAAAATCCAGATTTTAGTGATCCTCTTAATTGCTGTCTGTCATCAATTATCCCATTAAAAATCTTCTAACGAAGCAAGAAAATTCTCCATTGAAAGTATTTTTCAAGGGATTTTTTAAGGGATTTTTCTGTGTGACACCGCCTATGGTTGAAACTTCCTACTATGAAGGAGGCATATTTTGTCACCTACATCTTCATGTAGAACGTTGTAGTTGAGAGAATGCTTTGAATGTCTAGACATGAAATGAGCAGGCTAATTAAATGGTTACATACCACCAAGCTTTGATGAATCATATCAGAAGAAAGTGGTGTGGTACACACATGTACATGTACACTTCAAAATCTGTACAATTTGAATAGTAGAGCAGCATTAAACTTTATATTGAAATTTAGTCTAACTCATCATCAAAATTATGAATACTATACTTGGATATAAATTGAATGCGAATAAGCAAGAAGTGGGATTTGGTCTTTTTCCATTATATACATTTTATACATGTATGTATATAGTTTTGACAAGTTAAATTCAAAGATATGCAAGTAGAAAATGTAAAAATAGAAAGTGTGAAGCTTTTCATAATATAAAAATATGTATATACATGTGTACATGTATATATATATTTTAACATTTTATAATATATATATTCAATTCTATAAAAGCAGAACATTCTTATAATTACACATGTTTTGTAATTTTGTGGATGTAGAACTCTGCATAATGTAACCTTCTACATGTATTCTGTTTCATCTATTCCCTTTTCAGACCACCGTACGCGTTCTCTTGAAGCACAATGCAGACATCAACGCTCGGGACAAGAACTGGCAGACCCCGCTTCATGTTGCCGCTGCTAACAATGCTGTGGACATCGCCGGGATGCTCATACCACTCCTATCAACGGTCAACGTGACTGACCGGGCTGGACGTACCAGTCTACACCACGCAGCCTTCAATGGGCATGTAGATGTGAGTAATGGTCAATGAACTGAGTGACCAAGCTGGATGTAATAGTTTTTATTATATACCCCTCTTTAGAAATCTAGCCATGTGATTGGTCGAAATTGGATTTTAGCCATTCCCTTAGTTCATGAGTGAGATTCCAGAAAGATTCCGGGTACCGGGAAAAAAGTAAAATTTTAATGAGATCCCCATTGGTTTACATTAAAAAAGTTACTTTGTGTGAGCGCAGATAACATACAGTGCTTTTTGTCTGCGATTCCCAAAAGATCATAACATTCAGTCATCTTTCAAGCGAAGATTAACAGACAGTGTCATGGCAGGATGCAACGTCCCCTTGAGCCTACAAAAACAGCCAGGCCTCTAATAGCAGTCGATATATCTATACTACTACATGTATATGCTTTCTTGAATAGGCAAGTGTAGGTAACGGTCAATGAACCGAGTGACCAAGCTGGATGTAACAATTTTTACTATATGCTGCCTTGAATGGGCTTTGAAGATATTAACAGACCTAAGGGTCACAGTGATTTGGTTTGCTTTTTCCCACAAAGGTGACGCAAAATATTGAAAAATAATAATAATTAATAGTAATAATAATTTCTTTGACCCAAAGCTTGTTTTTGGACATTCTAATAGCATTGGTGTATGTAATTTTTTTCAGATGGTGAAGCTGCTGGTGGCTAAAGGAGGAACCATTAACGCTCAAGACAAGAAGGAGAGGAGACCTCTGCATTGGGCATCATACATGGGTAAATATTTCATAATAATAATAATCTGGATTTATATAGCGTTTAAAGCCCTACTGCACTACTTATAACTACTTGCGCCCTCTATGTAGCGGTACCCGTTGATCCCCCATGGTCCCCTTTTTCTTGTGTTAATTGAGAGCTGTTTTGATGAGATAACCACCTGCCAGTGACCATGCAGGGAGGTCTAATACCCCCTGGCCAAACTAGTGCAGAAAGGATTTAATACAAAATACAGTCTATAAGCGCTTTACAGATATTATTATCTCCGCTTCCTTTGGAGTATTCCTACCCTATGGTCAGTGCAAGGGAATATGGCGATTACTAACACAAAGGCTTTCCTACCAGGTCTCCATTTCTCTCCTGGGTATGGAGTAGCAGTTAAAGTTCATTAAGTCAAGTGAAGCATTCAATGAATTTCTTCCTACTAGGTATCCATTTACCTGGGTGGAGAGTGGCATATGTAGATTAATGTCTTACCAAAGGACATATCTCTCAAGATGATTATGCAATTTCAACTTTCACTAAAGAAAATATGTCTCCTTCAGCACTTTCTCGTCTTGAAATGTGACCATCTCTCTCTCTCTCTCTTTCTCTATCTCTCTCGCTCTCTCTCTCTCCCCCTCTTTATCTCCATCTCTCTCTCTCTCTCTCCCCCTCTTTATCTCCATCTCTCTCTATTTATATCTCTATCTTCTCTCTCTTTATCTCTCTCTCCATTACTCTCTCTATCTCTATCTCTCTCTCCATCTCTCTCTCTATCTCTCTCTTCCCCTCTCTATCTTTATCTCTCTCTCCATTACTCTCTCTATCTCTCTCTCTCCCTTACTCTCTATCTCTTCCTCTCTCTATCTCTATCTATCCATCCATCTATCTAACGATCTACATGTATCTCTCTCTCATTCTCTCCCTCCTCCCACAGGACACGTTGATGTAGTGCAGCTGTTGATTGAGAATGATGCAGACATAGGATGTCGAGACCGTAGTCTGTTCACACCCCTCCATGCTGCCGCTGCTAGCGGCCAGGTCAGCGTGGTGAGGATACTGCTAGAACACGGAGCTAAAGTAAGTGAACTGTCAGTGTGAACAAATGTTTGAGTGGAAATGCTCAATCTTGAATGTGTGCATTACATCTCTACTTATTGTAATCTTGGAATGATATGTATTATTAATAGTTCAACAGCATTATGAAAACACTGCCTGTAATGGCTTAAAGACCCTGGGTGGTATTTTCATAAGTTAAGCCGGGACTAAGTCCAGACTAAACAAGAATTTTAGTTCACACTTCTATGGAATGCTAGGTTTCATCTTCCTCCTTCAATATTCATGACAAAGATAATCTACCAAAGACTTTTTGGAAATTCAGTTCATACTCATATTATCTTTTTCTTCCCATTTCATTGCAAAATTAATTTTTTGAAGACTTTTCATTGAAGGATTAAAATAATCTGTACAGGATAAATGAGTTGACAACAAGCACTCCATAAAAGTGTGGACTAACTTAGTGCACACTAACTTAGTACCAGAATACCACCCCCTGTCTTCAACTAACAGTGTAGTTCATGTATGAACCTTCTGAATTTGGAGTCAGCAGGGCGGTATTTCGCATGTCGCTAACTTGTACTGGGGGGTGCAGGTGGACCACTACACCGGGGTTTCCCCCTACTCTTATACGAATAGTGCAGTGGGTTCTTAACGTGCAAAGGTAGTGACTCTTCTCTACACGGGGCCTCCATTTAACGTCCTATCCGAGGGACGGAGTGTTTTCCACTTGACATAACCTGCGTCTATGAACAAGGGAAGGGACACATTAACACACAACGCAGGCTTCAGTCATCCGCCTGGGTGGGAGTCGAACCCGGGATCTTTGGTTCGACAGACGGACGCTTTACCGACTGAGCCAACTCGCCTCCGCATGTTTACGGTGATGACAGTGAAGAAAATTTGGGTACATCTATGCTTTCCATGTTAGGCAAAGATAAACAATCGTACATCACATGATTTCACCGATACAGATACTATTATTAGAGTTTGGAATTACTGTCTGTTCCTTCATGTATCTTACTTACCCAAATTCCATAGAATGAGAGTAGACTGACAATTGTTAGATCTTTGCAATTAACCAGCCGGTAATTATAAAATGCTAATGACCAGTAATTACAATACAGTCAGACGCCCTCATTACAGTCTGGAATTAGTTTTACATTTAGTCATTTGCCAATAATGAATACTTTCAAATGACTGGTTATACATCAGCAAAAATAATTCTTGGTCACATGTCAGCTCTTAACCAATCATGTGATAAGGATGTTAAACATCATTTGATATTTGTTGCAGGTTGATATGCCCAACGCTTGTGGTAACACCCCTCTTCATATAGCAAGCCTGAATGGTAATGATCTGGTGCTGAGGGAGTTAATACAACACAATGCAAATGTCAACATACTCAACAACAAGGGCCAGGTAGGATTTAGATAGTCATTTATGTAATGTAATCAAATATTATACAAATAATACACAGCAGTGAGGGCATTAGTAAGAATTACCCACTCGTGGTACCTTTGGAACAGTCTAACACGCCGAATTTGGACTGTTTTTAAGGTACAGAGTGTGGGTAATTTTACCAATGCCCAAACAAAATGATGTGTATTATTTGAGTTATAAGATAACGTTTGATTTGTTTTATAAAATGATGTTTTATAACATAATTTTGATAATTTGATTAGGATCCACGTCATCATCTTATAAAATGCATTAATCTTTGTTAAAGCCTCACTACAAATGATTTCATCCACCTGTTACGAATGACTGTATTTCAATTGTCAGAATGCGAAGTGCATTCATTACATGTTGTTAGGTAGGACAAGCCATGATATAATGGCAGCTAGGCTAAAGCCGGGGTAATAATACATGCGCCTCGGAATAGAATTTCTAGATAAACTGCGCTATAGAAATGCCTATTATTATCATCATTATTATGATTGAATAGAGTTATATATACAACACGTATAAAGAAAAACTATTATTATTACTATTATTATTATCATTATTATGATTACATAGAGTTATATATTTGAACAACATACAAAGACAAAACTGTGAAAGTGAAGGAAGACATCAAAGCCTCATGTAACTTCAATTTTTTTTCTCCAAAAAAGAAAGAAGGATTAAGCATCAAAATCATTTTATTTTCCCCTCACACCCCCTTGTTTGATGCAATATAATTAAGAATATGTTAAATTTATTTTGGGCTTACAATTAAATGTGTTCTTGCATGCAATAAAAATAAGCCATTAACATGGAATAGATGTATGTAGGCTGTATTTATATGATTTACATTTGCATATTTCATATTGTTGTAAACGACCCCTTAAATGTGAAGCATGAACAATAAACTGAAACTGAATTGTATGTTGTTGGACATATTTTATGTTTATGAACTTATACTTCAGGTTGGTTCTGATGTTTTCCATTTTGTTCCCTCATCTCTCTCGAAAATGCTTACAGACCCCACTGCACCTGGCTGCTGTGTCGCCACACGGAGGCATGTGTCTGGAGTTCCTCATCGGCCGAGGGGCAGAGGCTAACATCCAATGCAAAGATGGGCGTACCCCCCTCCACATGATCGCCCTTCAGGGCCACTACCCCCGGGCAGAGAGCCTCATAGAGAGAGGTGAGATTCAACCTTTAACCCCACTGGTCATAGGTCAATATGTCATAGGCCCCTTGTTTCAGGTCATGCCCTGGTAGTCGGTAGAAATGAAATGATGTAATGGTGTATAAGAAAGGTGAGAGTGGGGCATTCAACCTTGACCCCACTGGTCATAGGTCAACGGTCAAAGGTTGTAGGTCCCTGGTCGGTGTCACAGACTTGAAAGTTTGTAGAAAGAGAGTTGCGGATGTTGAGATGGTCCTGTGCTTGGCCTTCAGGGGCACGACCCACAGGCATCGAGCCTCATCGAGAGAGGTGAGTTGTGACCTTTAGCCCCACCGGTCAGAGGTCAATACAGTGAAGAATAAGTTGTGGAAATAGACTTGTAAATGTTGAAATGGTCATGGGATATCCTTCTGGGTGCATAACCATTTTGGCTAGAGAGTGTCATCGGGATAGGCAGGATTTGCGCAGGAGCTCTCCACCCCACTAGGCATAGGCATGGAATCGGTATGATAAGAGTTTATTGCCATCAGCATAATAGAATAGGGAAGGTATGTGCAATACTAGTAATTGGTGACACCAACGATGCCCAGAATGATTTCCTTTTAGCTCTTTTCTTTCTGTCCTAACTCACTTTTCTATCCCTTGACATGTACACCATCCTTTTGCCCTTCACTATTTCTTGCTTTCCTTTGAGAGGTCCAATACTGGAGATTATATTTTTAAAATCTTTTTGAAAAAGCTATTGTTTGTCAACGGCAATGAGGCATATTTATTTCCTAGTATGTCTTACATGCAGCTTAACTGTGAATCTCTAGTTTGTAATTCACATTATAAGCTATTTTGAAGCTGCATTGAACGAATTTCTTGTAGGTACTTAAACATAGACACTTGTGAAAGATTGTGTTTATTTTGGCCCTGTGAGTGTAACAATAATAGAACAAATAAGGAATATAAATATATATATACATGTATATATAGATATATGATAATTGATATTTAGTAGATTCCTGCTTCGTGCATGTGCATTAAAGATCCTTGTGATTGCATGGGTGAAGAATGCCCCCCCCCCTCCCCTCCCAAACGTTCCCCTTGCCATGAGTTTACATAAGGGGGAATCCCCATAGGCATGGGGCAAGGTCAAAGGTCGTGACCCTCTCTGCATGTGTGAATGATGAGAGCATGCACTAGTATGCATTTTAGATAGGAAACACCACCACTCTAACTTACTTTTTGATGCTTATTTTTTTAATGTTAATGCGATGGGATAGAAATTATTATGCATGATGATGACGATCCTAGTTTTGTTTTTTGGTGAGAAAAACTCCCTTTCTCCACTTTGTTTTTGGCATTCTGAATGTCAAATGGTTTGGGACTTCAGTTTTATTTTTTGGTATAGGATGGGAATATTTTAAAACATGGTGAAGTTTTTCCTCATGTATGAGAAGGCCAAGGGTTTGTATTTTTGTTTTTAGTTTTAATTTTTAAATATGTCATATTCCGTATATTTCAAAAAGGTAAGTACCGGTATACAAAAAAGCAAAATGAATATATCGCCTTATAAATCTGTTTTTGTTTTGTTTTGTTTTGAAGTGTTATTTGGTGCAGGTTGAATAGAGAAAATGCAGAGCTATTTGTGTGATAATTTTTAATCGAAAATCTGACATTCAGTACAATGTGGATTGCAGAGAGCTTTGAAGATTTTTTGTGTTTCAAACCTTTATCTGGTCGTTGCGGATCATTGACTTCACTTGATTACACTTCTGTTTCTATAGCAACATGTTTTGTTCAGTCAGAAATGTATGCAAATTTAAAAAGGTAATTTTTTTTAGATTGTAATCTTTAGCCACCTCCTTAAGTTAATCTGCATGGGAAATTGCTTTAAAACTTGCATATTTACCCCAGAATATTGCATTTTGCAGTATCAATGAAGAAAAGCATAAAATTATATACTTACATATACTGTATGCTTCCAAAACAAATTTTGAAATATAACCTGAATGTTTCATACTCATCTTAAAAAATGTTGTATTTTGTATCCTCCTGTAATAGAGAATTATGTGAAACAACTTTGGTGATCTTACACACTTCCTCCGATGACATTTGCTCCAGGCTTTTTTGTTTTAAAAGTATCAGATTGGGGTTTAAGGTTAGGTCTAGGTTAGATCAGGGTTAGTAATTAGTATTTGAAAATAGTATTGGGTCCAGGATTGATGTCAAGAAATGTGGTTTGTAGGAAGTATAGTGAGGCAATTGTTGCAGGAGCGTGTGTCATTCATCAAAATTTGCATATATTTGCATAAAATTGCATAAAATTGCATAAATTTGAATATATTTGCATACATTTCTGAAGATGTATTTTGTGAACTGTCCCTAATAACACTAATCTTTTCCATTCCTTTCTGTAGTTGTCCAGCTTCTCTTAGATGCTGGTGAGTATCGGACCCTAAAACATTTTAACTCTCTCTCTCTCAGTCAATCACCATCGGGGCCCTGTTTCACAAAACTTGCGACCAATAACAAGTCGCTGAAATCGTGGCTTTTGATTGGCTCTGAGCGGATTTGTTGTTGAATTTTGGCGCTTGTTGCTAATGACAAGCTTTATAGCAAGTTTTGTGAAAGAGGGTTCCGAAGTGTGCAGTAACCAAGGTCTTATTCGTAAAAAGCAGGCTCCACTGGTTTATGGATTGCTACATGTCAGCCGCTTTATTCTGAACAAAATACTGCATTAATTTGAGGTAGTTAAAATACTTGAGCCATGAAATAAATGTGAAAGAATATTTCAGGATAGGATAAGTTTCATATATTATTCATTTAGTGACATTATTTATAGTAATTATAACACAAGCAGAAGTTGACACATGGCACTCCATAAGTTAGTGGAGTGACTCTACCAGTCAAATCAGTGTTTAAACGTGGACTCTGGTTGTACCCTTTTATAAATTTATTAACTTTTTCAATAATACCAGCGCTAACCAGGGAATGAAATCTGTTCAATTGCCATTGTGCAAAAAAAAAAAAATGAGAAAAAAAATGCTACTAACGTTCTTTTATTTGTTGTTTAGTTTAATACTTGTAGGGCATCAGTCTCATGTACAGGAACCCTTGATTTTTTCTCAATTTATAAAATAAAGATTTGAGAGCGTTAGGCCCCTGACTTTTAACAGTATTTCCTATTAGAGCAGGCCCCTTTTTTATATTAAGTATGTGTAGCCTACTTTTCAATCCAGAGAAAATACAATTTTTCTTTTGTTGTCGGTTGTTATAATCAGACCTCGTGTTAAAAAGCAAACCCCTCTATTAATAAAACGTGTATGTTGCTAGTTTTTAGGAAAGTAGAAAATAGAATTTAAAATGTGATTGAAAAAAAGGTGTGTGCTTCAAAGTTGCTGTTTGCCTTCTGAATTCTACTTAGTAGTCTGATCAGATAAGTACATATATATATATATATATATATATGATGCAAAAATCAAAGCTTATTATGTGTGATACATGTTTAATGTAGTCTGTATAGCACATGTTTTTATAATTTTTGTAGTTTAATTTAGGATTATAGAAAAGGGTTCAAGGATTTTCTTTCTTGTCTTTGCTTTAAAATACATAGTTTTGCCTCTTTTGTCATCCCCATTATAACATTGACAAAATTAAGCTTTGGTGAAATTTATCAGCCTTTACAAAACTTAAGAGAAATACACAAGGACATTGAAACACACTTCCTGAAAAAATGCAGCGTAGGGAAGGGGGGGGGGCAGTTACTTGTATAGTTAAAGGTAATACAAAGTTTTGGGAAATTTTGAAAATTGGGTGGATCGTGATTCTTACAATTTTGATATATTTGGATGCCCCTGTGGATGTATTATAAGCTCTAGAAAATTTAGTCCCTAAAACACTTCTGCTTTTGAGAAAAATAAAATATAAAAATTTACCGGTGCTCCCGGTAAATGTTGATAAATTTCAAATAGCGCCTACGGCTGTACAATGGTAGCTGCGACCATGAAACTCTCAGAATATATAGTTGTGATATTTATTTCCAAACGGGAACAGGTAATCGGTCGATTATAGTCAAAAACATTGTTTTATAGCTTAATTAATATTTGACCTTGAGAGGGAGCTATACATCAAAAAGAGTTTCTTATTTACAATTTCATAACTTTAGACTCGATTTCAACCGCGACAACGATCACTGAACATTGTAGGATCGCATATGCTTCCAATATGTTCATTTGAACCAAATTCATGACCCCATACCAAAACTTTGTATTACCTTTAAGCTTACTGTGCACTGTGCTTATATTGCAGTAGCTTTTTTTTTTAGGCAGTCATATGTAAACAAGGCTTTTCTGTTTAGTTTTCATCTCTTGGCATTACTTCAAAGGGCCTCAGACCACATGTTAAAGTGTTGCACTGTTAATGAAATGTTGATGTCTTGACAGCAAACGCTTAGGGGCTTGTTTCAATTTTTCCTTGTAACATTGATAAGTTGTAAAATATGCTCTTTTCAGACTATATCTGTTTTGCGTACAATGTATTCTTAACCAAGTGTTTTACTTAAAATATTATTTCTGCTTATTTCTTCTCCCTTGCATCTAAAGAGGAGCCTAGAAAATCATGTTTATCTTTTGTTTTGAATTATGTACTGTGGCATGCTGAGTTTGGATGCACTGAGAATAGAATGTGCATGGCTTGTGCATGACCTATAGGGAAGAGAAATGTTAAACCGTATCAATACAGGAGGTGTTTGCTATAGTATTTGATAATCAAAATTATGAACATTTTCTTAGGAATTTGAGATATTTAAAAAAAAGTAATATTTCAATTCAATTCATTTTTGAGATTTACTTTTGATATTGATTTTTATGCCTCCGTTACGAAGTAGCCGGAGGCATTATGTTTTCGGGTTGTCCGTCCGTCCGTCCGTCCGTCCGTCCGTCCGTACGTCTGTACGTACGTCTGTACGTACGTCCCGTTCTTGTGATCGCGTTATCTAAAGAACCGATTGATGGATTCCTGCCAAACTTTGGTAATGTATGTATCTTGCAGAGCCGATGAACTGATTAGATTTTGGGGTCACGAGGTCAAAGGTCAAAGGTCACAGGGCTCATTAGGTATGCAAAAACAGCTCGTGATCGCGTTATCTGAAGAACCGATTGATGGATTCCTGCCAAACTTTGGTCATGTATGTCTCTTGCAAAGCCAATGAACTGATTAGATTTTGGGGTCACGAGGTTAAAGGTCAAAGGTCACAGGGCTCATTATGTATGCGAAAACAGCTCGTGATCGCGTTATCTCAAGAATCGATTGATGGATTGCTGCCAAACTTAGGTCATGTATGTTACTTGCAGAGCCGATGAACTGATTAGATTTAGGGGTCATGAGGTCAAAGGTCAAAGGCCAAAGCGCACATTATGTATGCAAAAACAGCTCGTGACCGCGTTATCTCAAGAAGCGATTGATGGATTCCTGCCAAAATTAGGTCATGTATGTTACTTGCAGAGCCAATGAACTGAGTAGATTCTTGGTTCATAAGGTCAAAGGTCAAAGGTCATGGGCTCATTATGTATGCAAAAATAGCTTGTGAACGCATTCTCATTAGAACTGACAGATGGATTACTATTTAACTCAGGACATCTTGCAGAGCCAATGAACTGAGTAGATTTTAGGGTCATGAGGTCAAAGATCAAAGGGTCATATATGTATATGAGAAATTGCTTGTAATCACGATTTTCTGAGAACCTGTCAATGGATTACAATTGAACTTGAATTCGAAAAATTTCTTCTGTTTTGGTTTGTAAAATTGCTCTATGACGGAGGCATCATTTTCGACTGCGCGCAGTCGAATTCCATCTAGTTTTCCAAATGGTGATATATTCTTCTCTTTAAAGTGACTCAGCAACGTTGCCTCAGATTCTGAAACAAAATCCTGGATTTAGCTCATGCTACAATCATACTTACGAACCTTTAGGTCAGTCAGGAATCCCATGACTTTTACAAGCAGATCGCCTGTCTGATTATCAAGATATTTATGATTGGAAATTAAAATTTAATTTGTCGTTTTCCTAACGGTGTTGAGAACACTAAAGTCTTTTTTGGGGGAAAATGAGTATGGTGAAACTGATCATTCAAAGATTTTTACTTTTTTGAGGCTCTTCATGATCATTTTGAAGCGCAATCTTTTGAGGGCTTCAATATCACAAACACTGATAACACGTAGGGCCATCCATCTCAGATTTAACATTGTTAAACGATGCCTTTAATTGGAAAAGAAGAAATTAATACATTTCTTACTCCAAATTAAACATTGTATACACGCCAAAATCAATATCTAGATATATGTACATATGTATCATTCCTGCAGGTGTTGAATATATTAATATGAATAATTTAGTTTAATATTATCTGACACGGTGTGAAATGCGTCATCTTCCTCCTTGGTACTCTATGCATATGCTGGTACAGGGTGTGCATGCTCTACTCTAACAACCCTTGGTTTCTTTCAAGTCCTGTCCAGACATGGCACTGTAAACTGTTCCCTAAAACTACAGCAGTAAACCTTTATGTGTGAAAGAGGCCATTTTTTGAAGGGGATGGGCATAATATATTCCCTTTGTGTTCTCACTGAGCTGTGTGTTATAAGATGCAAATGTGTGAAGCACTTGCTTATAATATAAATAGCACTTTAATTGCCACAGTAATGTTTTTTTTCCTTCTTATTTTATGAGGTGGTTCACTGCAGCCTGCAGTGTATGCGAATCAAGCTTTATTGTTTGTTATGTGCTCTGGTTTAGTTCTTTCTGTTTACAAACACCACAAAATGCTTATATGTAAAGTATACCTGTATTTCATTGACATATACATTAAACAGCTAAATTATTCATACCTCTTGTATATTGGAGGTTTTGGTTTTTGTGTTTTTTCATAACTCAATAATGATGAGTGAACTGGTTGAATTACAGCATTAGTTGAATACTTTCAGATGTAAGCTTTAATAGGGCACATTCTCAAGAAATATAAATTGGGACAATCAATTTTTCGAATACAAAAAAAAAAAAAAAGAAAAAAAAAAAAAAAAAAAAAAAAAAATAATAATAATAATTGGAAAGTGTATGAATCATTTAGTTATTAAAGGTAAAGACCAGTTATGGTCATGCGATTGCATTGTGAAAGAAACGTTGTGGAATCGATCAGAAAAGGTTGATCATCTAGCATCTAGCATCTGCAAGGTTCTGGAATCATCAAAATGATAAGAAATTTGGCCCATTCTTCGTAAAGTTACAAGCACTATACACAGAAAGATGTATATGGGACTACCCTATATCTCTCACAGACCATGAGAGAAACAAATTTACCAAATATATGAATTAGTAGGCGGTTTCCCGGCAAATTTTTTATCATCATGTATTAGTCAAAACATATTCTTTCACATGATTGGTAATGAGAGCTTCCATTTCATTTTTTGAAATCGGGGCGTTTCCAATACTGGTCTTTACCTTTAACTGTATCTACGTATTGTCTGCTCAGAGCCAAAAAAATGTTGCAGTATCTCACATCAAATAGCATAGAGCTAACACCCTTCTGGCACCCATCAGATGATATATTTCTTAAAGGAGTATGAAACTAATTTTATACGGAGGCACAGCAGCTGATATAACATGTCAGATTATACTAGTAACTTGTACATTATGTAAAATACTACTGTTGGATATTAGAGTGGTTATCATTTCTTCAAGTTATTCTTCTTCTTGTTTGCCGTAGGTGCTATGATCGACTGTGTGGATAACCAGGGTAACACACCACTCCACCTTGCCGCCCAGCATGGACACCAAGAACTACTGGTCACTTTGCTTGACCATAGTGCTGACCCAACAAGGTACCATCCAAACCTGTCGTAGTGACCACCTTGCTATAAGGCCACCTCTAGTGGTCACTATGATAATGTTAATAATAATAATAATGTTCAAGTTTTTAATATATAGCGCATATTACATAATTGTCTCTATGCGCTGAGAGAAGAAAGAGAGGGAGAGAGGAGAGAGAGAGAGAGAGAGAGAGAGAAGAGGAAAGACATGAAAATTATTGAGCTTTCACCATTCATCACTTATAATTATCAAATCAATTACAAAATTCATATGTTTACTTTATGATTTATAAGACGGGCATGATCGAAATTCGAAACAGATGTTTTTAAGATGGATTTCAATTGATGTAGTGAAGGACAACATTTGAGATATTTTGTATTTTCCTTCTAGAAAGAAATTTGTGTTCCATAAAATTGTGCTCCATGAAATTTGTGCTGTAGAACCTATGTATAGAAAGGTCACCTGTCTACAGGAGTCACATATTTTTTTGTTTTCCCCGTAAGAAGAAATGTTTGTCAAAGAAACATGTGTCTTAATAAAACCTGATTAAAAAGGTTGTCCTTCCACAGAGGATACTTTTTGTCTGTTTCCCTTGGATGACTTTTACTGTGTGTACACATTCACAAAGACATGAAATGATACAGTGAATTCTGCTTTAGCGGCCACCTAAATATAAAGACCACCCATCTATAAAGACCGTCTGTCTAAATAGACCAGCTGTTAAGGTTGCAATTGAGATAAAGATTAGGTTAGGCTTGGGTATACTATTGGAACTGACTTGATGAAGTATAGTGGATATTTGTGATCTCGTTGATATAGACATGAAATGATTGGTGATTTTATATTTGCTCCTGAAATGTTTGTCCGAAGCTATATTTTGTTCAAGATGCAAGGTTAGGGCCTAGGCTAGGATTGGTTTCTAGATTTAGACTTATGTGTATGTCATTATTAGAGTTCTTGTGAACTATCACTTGGAAAAGATATCTATAACTGTATTTTTGGTTGTGTTCCAACAGACACGGTATCCATCGCATGTTACCTCTCCATCTAGCCGGTCTGAGTGGCTATACAATCTGTTGTAAGAAGCTCCTGGAATCTGGTGAGTATAAGCTATTAAAATAACAGCACATGCTCCATCAACCATTGCTCAGTTGTTAAAGAGAAGGTTGAGTTCTGGGGAGAGGTGAACAATAATTTGTGAGCATTATTGTTGATATGCAAGAGTGGAAGAACATCAGAGACAGAAAAAAATGTTCCTTAAAAAGCATGGGTCTTCAAATGCCTTAATATTCTAAATAAAATACAAAAATGACGACCTCATTTTTATGCCACATGTCTGAAACAAACACATAGGTTTAGAACTTTCTAGATAGTTGTATTCTTTGTGTGTACCTAATAGAACACAAACTATTCACAAAGTTTAATCCTTGGTTGGTTATATTTTGATTAATAAAGAGATATGCATCTCAATATATTTATAGATATATGTTGTTTACGTAAAATAATCTGTGACCACTTATATTAGCTTGTGGTCCTGGAAAATGAAATGGCAAACCAATAATTTTCCTCATATTTCAGTACTTTTGAACTTAAATGCTTTCTGTACTGTTATAAAGATTTTCCTCCAGGTGACAAGTTGATGTGGCAAAACATTTTATTCAAAGACTTTTCTTCTTCTTCTTCTTCTTTTTACAGGTTGTGATGTGAATAGCCTAGATGAAAATGGCAGGACGCCTGCACACTGCGCGTCATGTTCAGGGTTAGTACCAACTTTCAAAGTTCTAATGTATTCGAAGAGTTTAATTCCAAAAAAAGCTAAATCCATTTTTGTAACTTCAGAGAAAAAAGAAATCGTTTACCAGATTTTGTACAGGCATCTATGGAAAAGTGATATTAGAAGGTGCATTTTTTCATAATTGCTCTAATAATTTAGGTAAATAATTTTGTTGAAAGACAGGTACTTCAGTGAAAAATGTTCTGATATCAATTTTCATATAAATATGGATTTAGCTCCTTTTGGAATTAAGCTTTTCATTTGTAAAAACCTTCATGTAACCGTGCAGTGTACAGAAATCGATCCTAACTGCAATATTATAAAACCCGTGTTAAACAACATTTTGTGTGTTTTTTTAAAACTGAAATGTGAATTGTATCCCAAGATTTATCAAACTGATGTACTTTGTATCTTGATGTGCCGTGATGGCTTAAACACTTGACTGATAGCGCAAATGTCGTTGGTTCAAACCCTTCTTTCACTTTTTTAGTTATAACATCAATTTCATTTCCTAATTTTCCTTTTCTTGCTATTTAGGAACGTTGACTGTTTAGATTTACTAATCAGCCGTGGGGCGGACTTTGACGTCCAAGACAAGGAAGGCCGTACACCGCTCCACTACTCGGCAGGCAACGCCAATCATCAATGTCTTCTCTCATTGGTTGCCATGGGGTCAAAGGTCAATACCTCGGACAGCAGGAACTGCACTCCGCTCCACTATGCAGCTGCTGCTGACATGGAAGCAGAGTAAGACACAGGCCCAGTTTCACAAAACAAGTGCCAAAATTCCTCTGACAAAACTTCTTCAAGGTCAATCAGGGCCCTGTTGGACAAAAATTATCATTGATGGAAACCTTGATTTTGATTGGCTGTTGAGCCTTGGCAAAGGTACCATCAATGGTAAGTTTTATGCAACTGGCCCAGGGGGTGTTTCACAAAGACTAAGATCAACTTTAAGTTGAACTTAACTATGACAGGCCATTCATGCCACTGATTGCTCTCACCATTGGTCTCACAATTCTGATCTTTAGATGATATTCTTTCCTTCAATAATAAACTATCAAAAAAGGTATATTCTGTAGATTTGTGACCACGATTTGCACGTCCCTTGAGAAACCAATGCCAGGAATGGTTAGAGGAACTAGTGGCATGAACAGCCTGCCATAGTTAAGTCCAACTTAAAGTCAATCTTAGTCTTTGTTATAGTTTCAGTGGCTTTTCTCCGTTATATTAATTTGCGAACGGTATCAAGTCTTGTGAAACAGTCCCTAGATTTTGATTTCATGAATACCCCCTTCTTGCAATGAAATGCATTTCACAATATTTCAGAGTTGATTTGAGCTCTTATAAGATCAATCCTGACATGTTTAGGCTGCCTATATAGGATATTCTTTACATCTACATGTATGTAGCCCTTAAAGGAAACATCACCCCAAAGAATAGGTGTAGGTAATCTGAAAAATGAGATGTACTCCTGCTCTTTGATGTACAACAGTCCTTACAAAAATGTACAAGAGATAAATGGAGATATTCTTGGCATGATATGATGCCCTTTAGCATGACATGGGCGCAACCATTTTCATGAAAATGTGACTTACCAGTTGAAGTTGAAGTGATACGCAACTTCACATAATATGTCACGTATCAAGAATATGGCAATGCCCATGTCGTGCTGAGAAACTGTACATTATTCTTGCTTTATGCCTCTCTCTTACACTTTGGAGGGGAATCTTGTAGATTAATGGGGAAGAATATAATTAATTTCTTGGAATAAGTAAAGTTTTTACTTGGGGTGAGTTTTCGTTTAACCCATTCTATACGGGACAGGGCTTGTTCCTGTATGAAGCATATATGATGGAGAGAACTTGGTAGTCAAATGGTTCATGGCTTTTCTTTCTATTCTTTGTACAGTTGTGTGGAGCATCTCCTTCATCACAAGGCAAACCCAACGTTACGAGATGCGCACGGGTACAACGCACTTCATTACGCAGCAGCGAGCGGACACAGTTTAGCAGCGGAAAAGGTAAATATGTCTCCATGTAGTGCTTTAATTCAGGTCTTAATGGCATCGTTTAACAATGTTAAATCTGAGATGCATGGCCCTACGTGTTATCAGTGACTGTGATATGGTGTAATATTGAAGCCCTAAAAAAAAGTGAATGACCGGTTTTACCATACTCATTTTCCCCAATAGACTGTAGTGTTATAAAAACCGTTCCATGTCATTATATAATATTAAGTTTATAAATTATACTTTAAAACACTCGATAAAAATGAAAGGCACTGGCCTATTTACTTGGTTTAAAACTTATGACATCTGTGTACCACAGCTCTCCTACGGAGCCATCAAGCCTTGTGTTTTTTAATGAAATTATTGTTGAAGTTATGTGCTCCCTTTTGTTTTGTGTCGTAGCTGAGAGCTGTAGCTGCGAATGAGCTTCTGGCCGCAAGTAGATCAGGACCTCTTACCACACCTCTTCATCTAGCTGTAAGTAGTCCTGTAAACATCCTGTCTTTTATACAGTAGGCTTACAGTTTCAACATGTGAGAGAGAGGGGGAGGGGGAGGATTGGGGAGTCCTGAAAAGGACTGTCAGTAATCTTTTTTTTCTTGAGTGTGTGTGTAGTCCTGTAACCTCCTGTCTTTAGTTTTGGACTGGACAACCACTGAATGCCTAAGTCATGCGCTTGATATGTGCCGTTTTAATTTTTTGTAATACTTCGCTTTTTGGTTTCCCATCTTATGAAATTCAAAGATTACAACTTATTCATAATTCAGGAGCGCGACTCGTGACGGGAATAAAGAAACCGGATTCAATATCCCAGACTTCAGAAATTTATATTGGCTACCTATTTAGTCCCGTATCCAGTTTAAAGTATTTTGATTAACTTCTCTATGTTTCCATCCATTTTCTCCATCATATCTCATTGAATTTTTAATACAGTATAAACCAGAAAAATACTGTGTTTCTGTAAAAAGTCTTTATTTTATACCCCACAAACTATGACAAAATCTCACAGGGAAAGATATTTTTCATATGCAGCCACTTTTTTATGGAATAACTTGCCAGAATACCTTACCTACTCTCTCTCTTTCTTTCTCTCCCCCTCCCTCTCCCTCCCCCTCCCTCCCCCTCTCTCTCCCCCCTCACTGATTCCAGGCATACAATGGTCACGTAGAGGCCCTTCAGGTCCTGATGCGCTCCATCGTGAACCTTGACATCCAGGATGCCAACGGACGTACGGCCCTTGACCTGGCAGCCTTCAAGGGTCATGCAGAGTGTGTAGAGTCGTTGGTCATGCAGGCGGCTACCATCCTAGTACACGATTCGGTCTCCAAGAGGACACCCATGCATGCTGCAGGTTAGTGCAATATCATCTTGTATCACATAGAAAAGGGACTAGATGAATCCAAATATTAGTATTACAGTGAAACCTGTATATATAAATACTGATTAATGGAGACAAGAAAAGTGGTCTTAATTTACAGGTTCCTTGATTATATCTTTCAATGAGAAGTGCATTTTCTAGGGAAACAAGAAATGTGGTATTTTTTGACAGATGGTTTTTCTATACAGGTTTGACTGTATTTTTAACTTTCCGAGCCATTATGGAAATTCTCTTGTGTTCACCCTAACTAGCCTACAACGGCCATGCGGAGTGTCTTCGGATATTACTGGAGAATGCTGAGCAGGAAGGAGCCGTCGACATCGTGGACGACCAGGGTAGGACGCCTCTCATGGTTGCCGTTAGCAACGGTCACATCGATGCCACCATGCTGCTCCTGGATCACAGGGCTAGCCCAACCATCCAAGACGTCAATAAGAGGACAGCGTTACATAGAGCGGTAAGCAAGATTCTGATGGGTTATTTGTTCATGATTATACAAATAATACACAGCAGTGCGGCCATAGCCAAGGGTGTTTGAACTGTTTTGAAGGTACCAAGTATGGGTAATTTTACTAATGCCCGAATGAAATGATGTGTATTATTTGTTTTATAAGATTATATTTTATTTGTTTTATAAAAAATGATGTTTTGTAACATGATTTAATAATGAACAGAAATAAGTATTTACTAATGGCTGGTCATTAGTAAAATTATGTGTTCGGCAAAATAAATTTCTGGTCACGTGTATGCTCTCAACCAATCATTTGATTAGGATCCGCGTCATCATCTTATAAAAGATTCTATGACACATGGTCGGGTGACGATTTCTCTGTGGTCAATTTCCTACTCCAACTGAATTCCTATTTAACCTGTGATACATAAAAAATATACCCTCACCCTTACCCTGACGACATCAGGAAGATAAAAACCATTACATAGAGCGATAGGATTATTTCATTCACCTGTTATAAATAAATGTTTCTCAATAGTCAGAATGTAAATTGCATAATTATATTATGTGTTGTTAGGTAGGGCAATCCATAATGTTTGTCCTACCTAGCAACAACTAATGTATGCTATTTGAATTCTGACAATTAAGATAAATCTACTTCTATTAGGTGAATGAAACAATAATTCATATCGAGGTGCTTTACAAAGGCATATGCATAAATATGGTTATATTACGAAAATGGCCTATTGGACTATTAATTTTTTTTTTTTTTTCTGTTTCAGGCCGCTAACGGACACGAGGAATGCTGTGATGCACTCTTAGGGGTGTGTAACTCCACCATCCGGGATATCAATGGCCGATCGGCTCTTCACATGGCTGCAGCGTGTGGCCACGAGGGTATCTTGGGTTCTCTCTTGCAGCTTGAACCCACGAACCACTTAGACAACAAGGGCTACACACCACTGCACTGGGCTTGCTATAACGGTGAGTTGTCTGTGTGAATTATCGCTGTATTCTTCGCTAAATTGGCCACACATCAATTTTTCCTAGCAGGGGTGGGGGGGGGGTGGAGGATGCAAGTCCGAAATATCTCAGGAAAGCAAAACAAGATTAAAACAAGACAAAAAAAAAAAATGATGTGTGTAAAATGCTGAAAGCATACATATAATTTGTTACTGTCTAAGTAGGCAGATTACTTCTGTGATCTAGAAAAGAAGAAAATTTGTTCAATGCCTCCAAATCTAGTTGGGAATAACGAAGTAGACGCAATACATTGAACGTTCATCAAAGTGCAAGTAATATTCCATGTATTTGTGCATGTCCCATTTCATTTTGTTTTCGTAAGTATGTTTTATACTGCAAATATATATTTTTTCTACCCCTAATAATAATAATATGCAGCTTTTATATAGTTACAATTAAGTCTATAATTGCTTCCAAACTTGAAAATTAATACCCCGGCTTTAGCTGTGCTGCCATTACGGCACTCTAGTATTTCAAGGAATTAAGTCCTGCCAGGTACCTATCTACATCACCTGGGTTGAGTGTGGCAAATGTAGATCAATGTCTTGCCAAAGTACACATCCATTCCGTCGCACATCTCTATTGAATCTCACACATATTACAAATAACGTTTAAATCTATGACATTTTCTTTACTCTCTCTGTCTTTCCTCAGTGTGTATTTTTAATACTCTGACCCACTTTTTGAAAGCAATATATGTTTTTGTTTCGTTTAACTCCATTCCACAGGGCACGATAATTGTGTTGAGCTGCTACTGGAGCAAGATGCAAACATGTTCTTTGAAGGGAATTCATTCTCCGCACTTCACTGTTCAGTGTAAGTTTCCATGATGTTAACAGCTTTATTCATGCATAATTAGTTTTTGTTATAATAATATATCTTATCAATTTTATTTTTGAATGTATTCTCATAAGCTTTATGTAATACATTTTTAAAACTTGCTATGTATTTCATGCGCTTTTATTGTAAACTGAATGTAATAGACCATTTCGTAGTTAGCACATGGGTCACATGACCCCAAATATCCGCAGATCTTTTACTCATGGAGAAGTCCCACGTTGTGTATTTTGGAATAATCAATGCCAAAGTCATGTATGTGCTTCATGAAAGGCTTTTGTTTGCCCTCTTGTATCATAGAATGTACCGTAGGTGTACACATGAATAATGATTACATACCGTATTTGCCGGCGATAAGGTTAAAGGCGCTGATTTGTGCTTGTAAACTTGTCACAAATAATAGTAACAATGTCGTTTTTAGAAGAATGTGTAAGATCATTAATGTGAATTAAAAACAATAAAGTACCTATGGTACCAGTGGTGTACCTTGTGGTACACCATTTGTTATAGAAAAAAATTTGAGGAACTATTATTATAAACTACATATTGAGATCTATTAGAAAGATTACTTTCAAACCAAGATGACAGTCAAATTTTAGTGTTGTTGTAGTTTCCGAGTGGTGAGTCAACACACTGATTACTGAGCTGGGAGACATTGCCAGGCATAGCGCCATAAATCGAAATTTAAATTAGAATTTACTCTTTCGCCGCATAGGCCGCACCCCGACTTTTTGATATTTTCTCTTCCAAAAATACTGCGGCCTATACGCCGGCAAATACGGTAATATGAGCACGTATTCATCTCAATGAGTTTTACAATTTTATCACAAATTACCTTTTATCTACCCATGCGCAGATAGTATTTACGAAATGGCTTATTCAGCTCTTGAGCTGCCATTTTCATTATTCTCAAGAAACCATTCAATTCAATTAAATTCTGGCATTAGAAAATAACTTGCAAAAGCACATTGCCGTGGTCCAATGTAAAATGTTTATAGTCATACATGAGAGAGGGAGGGAGGCAAAGAGAGAGGGAACAAGAGGATGGATAGAATGGTAGGAAAGATGGACATAGTTTATCGATCACAGTTGAAGTATGAATTATGTTTTATGTCTTATGATGTTTGTTCTGTATTTGTTTTTCTTGAATTATTGAAACCACAGTGGTCTATGTACCTTAAGTATCTTCTGGCGTTTGTATATTTTTACCAATTGTGATATTGTATTTTATGTATTTTTAAAACTTTAAAAATTTATACCCCTCTAGATTACGAGACAATGAAGTATGTGCTGAGATGCTGATAGATGCCCTGGCTGATGAAGTTGTCAACATCCAAGATTCTAAAGGAAGGTTGGTTGGTCTCTCACTCTTCACTATGGATAGAACTTACTTCAGTTGGATAACATCTAAGGAAAAAAGGAAAACCATAAGCCGGCCAATCAATGCTTTCAAAATAATTGGCTTAAGTCTGCTAGGGAGCTGTCTTGAATTTTAGGGTAAAATACTCGGCTATAAGCATCAATTGAGTACTGAAGTTGGCTAAGTATTTTATGGAAGCCGAATACTGAGTGAAATACTCATATTTCTGACTTAAATATTGAATTGAATACTAGCCCAGATACACACTTTCACGAATGGACTTTTAGTTAAGTAAGATATTTGATTAAGTGTGCCTTTGGATACGGTGACTGATATATGGATCCACTATAAGGTAGGAATCTTCATCATTATCATCATTGTTGTTTAAAAAAAAAAAAAAAAAAAAAAATTAAAATTTACTTTTAAAGGTCAAAGTCAATAGCTGAATAAGGTTTCCTGTGTTGCGTGTTTCTTTTTGAAGTGTCCTTTCTTCATTCCCTAAGCGTTTTTTTTGTGTACCTATTAGTAACCACGTTTTCTTTGATTGTTGTCATTGCTGTTTATTAAAGGACGCCACTTCATGCTGCTGCCCTCAACGACCAAGTGGAGTGCATGCAGCTCCTACTGAAGCATGGAGGCCAGCCCAACATTGTCGACAAGGGCGGCAAGACTTGCTTCATGATTGCTGCAGAGAGTGGTTCTGCTGGGACTATAGGTGAGACTTTTTTCAAGCTATGATTATAATTCTGGACGACCATCATTTTTCTCTCTCTCTGTTATATCACTTTTTCATATGGAAAGCTTCCTCCTGGGTGAGAGTCTGCGACACACATACTCTTGCGCAGTTAATTAGTATTGCACACTGACTTACATGTACATTCTCAACTTCAACGTTAGACCATACTTACCCCAGCCCCAAATCAAACCCTTGACCTAACCTTAAGCCCAATTGCAACTCTAACCCTAATCCTTTATCTTTGCTGAAATAGAGTCTGAGCAATAGGGTGGATTCACAATTATCAGTGCACCCACTAGCAAGCTGTGATGGGCCAATTTTTCAACTTGTGGGTCGAGTTTTTGTCAACTGGTTCAGCGCAGGAAAACGCTATAAACCGACCGGAGATTTGGCCTGAATCAGGACAAAATTCAATTGTTTCTTCGGCCAAAAAGTGACCGAAAGTACCAAATTGTTGTTGTTTGGGGGGGGGGGGGTCAATTTGACTAAATATTCCCTTGTTAGGTCACATTTTTACATAGAATCTTTTGCTTGATAATAATGATTGGTAAAATTACCCCTGACAAAAAGTGACAGTAATGGTCAGTTTTGGCCAACACTTATTATCAAAGTGATTAATTCTCTCTAATCCACCTAAATATACTGATTCATAAAATTATTTTGCTGTCTGGTTTAGTCTTTAAATTCTGTTTCTCATCTTAAATTCATTCATAATAATCATTCTAACTCTATACTGCCTTATAGAATTATAATGCTGGCAGATTTTAACTATGAATTCTGTTTTTCTGAAATTCATTCATGATAATCTGCCTTGCTCCTATACGGCTTCATAGAACTACGCTGACGAGTTTTATCTATCAAGTTCATTCACGATAATCTGCCTAACTCAATACTGCTTCATAGAATTATAATGCTGGCAGATTTTAACTATGAATTCTGTTTTTCTGAAATTCATTCATAATACTGCTTCATACATGTACAACAACTACAGTATGCTGTTGAGTTTTAACTATGAATTCTGTTTCTCTATTTAAAATTCATTCACAATAATCCGCCTAACTCTACACTGCTTTATAGAATTACTACAGTATTCTGTTTGATCTGAACTATGAATTCTGGGGCCAGTTTCACTAAACCGTCATAAGTCTAAGTTCGTGGACATCCCATAGAAACGTGTGTTAATTCTACAACACACGTTTCAATGGGATGTCTAAGAAGTTAGACCTATGACGGTTTCAAGAAACCTGCCCCCTGTTTCTCATCTATTAAACATTTATTCACAATAATCTACCTAACTCTACACTGCTTCATAGAATTATTATGCTGTCAGGAGGAAGATTGTATAGACTATGCCGATGGTAAGGGATTGTCCAAACGTCAACATGTGTAGCTGCTACAAAATAATAATTTTGCCCTCAAACCTTGTTTTCTTTTGCTCATGTTCTTTGTCAATTGTTATTACATGTACATTTAAAATGTCTTGGTATATACATGGACAGTCCATTTTGAAAACATTGTGCCTGTTTAAAAAAAAATGATGATCATTATTTTATTCTTTTGTTGCTTAGCTAGTTAGCTTCCTGATGAAAGTTGGATAGTTTGTTTGATAGCGAAGGGAGGGTATGGGTAGGGGAAAGGGGGATGGGGAGGGGTAGGGGGTGGGGCAATTCATGGAAATTGTAAAGTTTGAGCTTTGTTTTTTGTACCTTGTGTATTCTGTTATTCTTATATTTCTTGCTAATTTTTTTATTTGTTTTATCAAAAGAATCTATTTCATTTGGATATGATTTGATATCTGTCTAATATCATAAATTGTGCATAACCTGGTCCTGATTTTAGTGTAACATCATTATGTTTAAAGTTTAAATGCTGCTTTTCTTTTCTCAGAGGCCTAGATGTAAACTAGATGTGAATCCTGTTCATTTTTAGTTTGTAGTCTGCTCAGTACACTGATAGTATGCAGGTCTTAAACTCATTGAAATGCTTTTATTTTTTTCATGAACTATCGCTACAATAATTTGTGAGATTTTTACATTTATGTGTATATATGTATGTATATAGTTGTGCAGTTTTAATAGCTTATAAATTTTAAAATCTGTCTTATTATGATTTTCCTTTACTTAAATATATCTTGGTACATGTTAGAAATATAACAAGTTAGAAGAGTGTATAGAATATACTTCCAAATACTATATTGAATATGTGACATATATGTCTGTTCAATTATGATCTATTTGTACCACAGTCTATTTTGATTATGAAATAAAGTGCCACTGTTCTAGTTTTCATGTATATTCTATATGTAGTTATCTTTGGTACAATATAACAATAATGATATCAGGACCCCACCTTACAAAGAGTTAATATCAATCATAACTTATTTGCGATTAATATCAATCTCAACTATGTATGTAAGAGATAGGGGGCTGCAAACTTGTGATTGATAAATAGACTTACGATTGATTTGGATCAATCGCAACTCTTCAGTATTAAAGACGGCACAGAAATGATTATCCGAAAGAGAGAAATCTGAATATGTTATCAGTTATGTGAACAATTGATACCCTTTCCACCTCGTTTTTGTTGTTGCAAATTTGCCTGGACTACAAAATGTATCCCACAAATATTTCTCTTTACAACCAACAAGAGTAGAGAGATTCTGTATTGTTGCTGATTCTTTGATAATCATGTAAGGTGAACATGGTCGTACGTGTAGCCCCTGTATACTGTATATTTTATAATGAAACCTCTGCAATGTACTACTTCATGAAATATATCAAATTGTTTTCAAAAGTACTATTAGAAATTGAGAATGCATTTGAATAGATAAGTAGATGTCCTAGTAACATGGTCACGTACAACTGTACGTGGAGTAAGGGAAAATTCCCTGTCAGAATACAGTTTGCACTACACTTCTGTTGAAGTCTTTCAAGTGTTATTGTGTAGATTTTGAAGGCAATAACACTATTTTGCATCATTCTTTACCCCAACAGAATTACTGGTAACGGGACAAATAGCTGACATCTCTTTATCAGATGAGACAGGGAACTCAGCTCTTCACCTGGCTTGCCAACAAGTAAGAACATTACCAAAACAAAATCCCATTTCTTAATTTTAACTGTTCCCTTTCTTCTCCAACATCATATATATTTTCCCCTATTCATTAAAATCTCATATACCGTAAATCTCCGTGTATAAGGCGCACCTGTGTATAAGGCGCACCTGTGTATAAGGCGCACCCCTATTTTGAAGCCAAACAGGACAACAACAAAATCAGGAAAACAAAAAAATCAGGAAAAAAAAAAATTAGGGAAAAAAATTAAATCTGTCATCTTTAGTTTTAAAACCAACATTATTACTAGGTCTAACTTAGTTCCAATCGGCAAGATTTTGTTGCCACTACGGAGATCTAAAAACAATAATTATCGGTAAGACTTTGTTGCCCCTACGGAGCTCTAAAAATCAATAATTATCGGCAAGGTTTTGTTGCCCCTACGGAGCTCTAAAAACAATAATTATCGGCAAGGTTTTGTTGCCCCTACGGAGCTCTAAAGACAATAATTATCGGCAAGGCTTTGTTGCCCCTACGGAGCTCTAAAGAACAATAATTATCGGCAAGGTTTTGTTGCCCCTACGGAGCTTTAAAAACAATAATTATCGGCAAGGTTTTGTTGCCCCTACGGAGCTCTAAAGACAATAATTATCGGCAAGGCTTTGTTGCTCCTACTGAGATCTAAAGACAATAATTATCGGCAAGGTTTTGTTGCCCCTACGGAGCTCTAAAAACAATAATTATCGGCAAGGTTTTGTTGCCCCTACGGAGCTCTATAGACAATAATTATCGGCAAGGTTATGTTGCCCCTACGGAGCTCTAAAAACAATATTTATCAGCAAGGTTTTGTTGCACCTACGGAGCTCTAAAAACAATATTTATCAGCAAGGTTATGTTGCCCCTACAGAGCTTTAAAAACGATAACTCAGGCTTATCGAAAACCACCGAAAAGTAGCATTTTGAGGACTCAAAATATCCTGTACCTGTGTATAAGGCGCACCCCCGATTTTTGTGCGCCTTATACACAGAGATTTACGGTAGTTTATCCTGTTCTGTTTGCAAACTCCCATGTTGTAGGTATAGACCAGTTCTGGTCATGCGATTGAATTGTGAAAGAAATGTTGTGGGATCGATCGAAAAAGGTTGATCATCTAGCATATTGGTGTGTACTGCAAGGTTGAGGAATCATCGAAATGATAAGAAATTTGGCCCAGTCTTGGCAAAGTTACAAGCATTGTACACAGAAAGATGTAAATGGGACTACGCGATATCTATCCAGACTGGATAGATGTGATAATTTATTAAATATATCAATTAGTAGGCGGTTTCCCGGCAAAATTTGTATCATCACGTATTAGTCAAAACATATTCTTTTTATGATTGGTAATAGGAGCTTTCATGTCATTTTTGAGAGGGGGGCATTTCCAAAACTAGTCTTTACCTTTAAAAGACTGTACATGCTGTGAGAACAGCTTCAAATAATGATGTGCGAGATCTTCTATTTGCTCTTTTGGGGGCGGCCTTTATTTCATAATAATAATTTCTACATGTATCTCGTTCTTTAAATCCTATTAACAGAAGAATAGAATTCTTGTTCTACTTCAAATGTAAAGCTCTACACACCCGTTAATGCCATTTTTGTGAACCTTGTATGTGGTTATTTCCCCCTTTCAATATATTTATTTATCAAATATTTATTTTGATGAATTATCCAGACACACGAAGGATGCGCTTTGATGATCTTAGAAAAGATAGATGACGTCAGAGTCTTAGACATGCCAAACGCTAAAGGAGAAACGTAAGTATCTATCCAACATTTACCAAATTTGTCATTGGTTCTTCATGCAGGGGTTGAGAGTTAAGCCACATGCCAAATGGAAAATGTATTTAAAGCCCCACTGCACTACTTGTAGCTACATGTACATGCTCCCTCTATATAGAAAACAATGCCTAAGTGGTGCCCATTGGTCCCCAATGATCCTCTTTTTCTTATGTTAATTGAAAGCTGAGTCGATGAGATAACCACCTGTCAGTGACCACGCTGGGTGGTCTAATCCCTCCTGGCTAAACTAGTGCAGACAGGCTTTAAAGTCATTAATTCCAAATTTACTGTGTTGAGATGAACGTAACAGGCGTGGAACTGAAAAGAATATTTTCATTTTCTTGACTATCATGTTTTCGGGATACTTGGCAATGTATGACACTCTTTGTTTTCAGACCAAGCTTAAGATTTTTCTGAATGAAAATAGAAAAGGGTCTGATACGTACATTATATTAATAATGATGTGCTACAATCAAATTATTACCCATTATCAAATAAATTAATGTGAGCTCATGAGTACAATATTTCATAATGATTGTATTTAACATCAGAAGTAATTAGGACAGGTATGGCTATGAAATTGAGCAGTTTATAATGAAATTGATAATAATAATGAATAAAAAAGGATAGATGTGGTTATCTTTTATATTTCTTTGGTGTGTTGACAAAGACGATGACCCAAGTTAATTTGGAACTATTTGATTTCTTTCTCAGCCCGTTGCATATAGCTTCCGCTCAAGGTCTAGTCACAGTGGTCCAGGACCTTATAACAAGAGGAGCCAGTCTTCTAACTGTAGACAATCAAGGTTTGTTCCAGGACTTCTACTCTTCTTAGCTCTTCCATAATAAACCATAACGAAGACAATGCATGTACAGTGCTCCACACTGACTATTCCTCAAAGGGTTCCGATTGAAATTCTTAGGGCCCAAGATATCGAACTGCTCTCGTTAGAAATTAACAAAAATGAAAATGAATACTGTAAACGCTGTTATTTTTGTGTGACAAATTTTTCGCGCTGAGCGACGGCAAAACATTTTTCGCGAGTTCTAAAATTTGTGCTTGCCAATTTAACGCAAAATCCTCGAAAATTAATGTACCACAAATATTTCTATTTTTACAGTAATAGATTGTTGGATATGCTTAGAGAGAGGCAGAGATGAGCATCATTTTCTTCTTCTTCTTGTCTAGAAATCTGACAAATTATGAAAGTAATGATGGCAGTGATTGTCATAGTGATGATGAAGATGATCACAACGTCATCGGCAATTACAATGACAATTACAACAAATACAAAAATGATTTTTATAGTACCTAATACATTCATGATGTCTCGAATCACTTTACATTAAAGGGATTGGGTATCTTTGCCTTGGATTCTAAAAAAAAATCCTGGATTTGGCTAATGCTGCAATCATCATTATAAACCTTTATGTCGGTCGGGAATCCCATGACTTTTACAAGCCGATCGGCTGTCTGATTATCAAGATATTTATGATTGGAAATCATAACCAAATTTTGCGTGTTCCTAACGGTTTTCATAACACCACAGTCTATTGGGGAAATGAATATGGTGAAATCGGTCACTCAAAGATTTTTACTTTTTTGAGGCACTTCATGATCATTTTGAAGCGCAATTTGTCACAGACACTGATACACATAGGGCCATGCATCTCAGATTTGTAAAACTGGAAACATTGTTAAACACTGCCTTTGATATTGACATACCTGACATTGTCTCAACACCAACAACAGCAACATCAATGACAGCAACAGCAACAGCAATGACAGCAACAACAACAACAATGACAGCAACAGCAACAACAATGACAGCAACAGCAACAGCAACAACAATGACAACTAAAACAACAATTATTTTTATAGCCCACTAAATACATTCATAATGTCTCGAATCACTTTATATTGATATTTGATATTCATAAATACCTTATATGGTCTCTCCTCTTCTATCCTCATCCTCATTATCCATCCCAACCCGATCAGGTTACACACCCGCTCTAAGCTGCGCATCGTCTGACAAGGTGGCCGACTGCCTGGCTCTCATCCTAGCTCACATGATGCCCTTCTCCCCGGGGAACTCCACCATCAATTCCTCTCGCATCGCCCTCGCGCTCTCCGGCGAGCTCGGCCGCACCCGAACGTCCACCAGCCTCGACTTCAACGACGGCAACCGCAGCAGGACGGAGAGCAATGCCGATACGTCTGACTCGGAGACCTATTGACTACTGATGTAAATGTTGATGATGTTGTAGGTTCTACGACACATGCTCTGGCGACAATTGCTACGTGGTCCACATTTCTACTCTAAAATAAGCTCTAATTTCTACCTTAGACCAAACACTACCTAACATTAACCCTAACCAAAAACCTAAATGGATATTTATACCCAAGTCACATTTCTTTTATGAAATAAATGCTTAAAACAATTGTTGCCAGAATAGATTTAGTGTCACTAATTATATCATGTATCTTTAAATATTTAACAATTTAATAATTTAATATAAAATATCCATTCAGCTAATTTACTTTCTGAAAACCAAAAGAGGGTTTGCAAAGTTTTTTTGGTAGCTTTTGGACCTCTTTTGGTTACACTATATGAAAACCGATTGCAACCCGAACCCAAGTCATTTATGTTTGATGAAATAAAGCACAGAGCAATTGTCGCGAGAATTTTTTTTGTGTCACCATCTGATTTATATTTAAATGTTTTTCTAGATATCCATGTAGCTAACTTATTTTCTAAAAAAAATAAACAGAGAGTTGAAAATTTGGTTATTTGAACTTTTAGGGGCTGCCTCTGAATCTGTTAGAAATTGTTGAACCTTTTTTTGCTTTATAATGAAGTAGACATGATAATTAATATTTTAATGTATTGTAGCTTTAATTCTTTGAGTAAAAGAAAAGGATTATTTTGCAGCTGTTAAATACTTGATTTTTAGATTATAAAAATCACTCCTAAATTTGCAGGATGTGCTCATTTCATTTGGCAATTAGCTTATCTTATCACACAGTATAGATAGAGAGATGAACTAAGGTGGAATGGCATGGTATAAGTGACCAAAGTTTAACAGTGAACAGAGGATCACATTTAATAGGGAGAAAGGAAATGATGAAGCAGGGGAACCCTTCTTCTTTCTAATTAGTACTATTATTTTGTGTGTTTGTATACCCCTTGTAGTTGAGTTGGTGAATAGTAATGAACATTCCACATCTCCAGGGGAGTGTTTCACAAAGACTAAGAGCGACATAAGAAAAAAAAGTAAAGTTAAATTCAAGACTTGGACTTATACTACGGTATGCGATTTATGCCCTTAAAAAGTCTTGAACCAGATGTAAAAGTAGAGAGGACAATTGTAACTTTAAAATTATAATCTTTAGATAATATCTCCCTTCAATAAAGAACTATCAAAAGGTGTAAATTCTGTAGATTTGTGACCAAGATTTGTACGTCCCTTGAGAAACCAATGCCAGGAATGGTAACCGTTAAAGGAACTAGTGGCATGAATGGCCTGCTATAGGTCAAGTTCAACTTAAGTCGATCTTAGTCTTTGTGAAACACCCCCCAGATCTCATTCTGCAAGCAAAGCCCTGAATGAGCCAAACACACTCAGATGTAGACCAAGATATGATCCAAAGTACCTCATATATTCCTGTAGTGACTGACATTCCTAGACTTGTTTTTTTCATTGTTTTTCGCTCGTTTGTCATAGATTTAGGTACATACCGTGTAGATAGTACTTTTTACAATTGACCAAATATATATATATAGTTTGATAGATGTACATGTATGGTAATTTTTCGTTTACTCTAGATAGTTTAGAAAGACATTTTGAGAGCAAGCTTTAAAATATGTATGGGTGTCCTCAGTAAGTGTTCATGGGCTATTCAGCATAAATTATAATAAACGAAATCTAATCAGCCCAACAAATTTGATGGGCCACAAATGAACACCTTGTAAAATCACCATTGTCCTTCATTTTCTGTCACACTTCTGGTCAAATCTTCTAGACCAGTCTTGAAAGTTTTCATTGTACCTTCACAGCTGCATAGGATAGACTCTTCACATTGAATGCTTTAGGTTACATGATTGCCACAAATCGTCCTTGTTTTCACGAAGTGACGGTAGTGAGGAAAATCGTAACGCAAAGTGAACGCAATTTTTTTTCACTACCCTCACTTCGTGAAAACAGCGACGAAATGTATCCACAATTCGGATTCTTCGTTTCTAGATTTGATACTTTTTCAATTAAATGTTGTGTAAATTGATTTTCTTCATAGCCTTTCTAATTTTATATCGCTTTCCATTATCGCTTTCAACTTATTTACTCTAGCTTTCTTGTTTTTTTTAATTTGGGCTTTCTTTTTCTGGGAAATACTGTTCGTTGCCAGTCTGTCATAATAATAATAAAATAATAATAATACATATGATTTATAAGGCGCCAAATCCACTTGACAGTCAAATGCTCAAGGCTTGAGCATAATATGGGATTGTGTATATCAGTGTTATAAATGTAGCTTAAAACAAAGAGCACATATCATCCATGTGCTCTGCATGCACTGTATACACTTGCATTTCTATTACTTTATATGGGAAAATAATGTATCTACACTTGGGTTCTGTAATGGGTTCACAGACATATCTTCTACTATTTATATTTCATAAGATTGATCTTTTTAAACATTATTTGTATGTAAATAACATGAGAATAAGGAAAGGAACATGAATGCAACGATGTTGTAGTGTTTGCAGCATTTCCTAAAAGATATTTGCCCCAAAGTTATTATATTTTCTCTATATTCATATCAGTATTGCTTGCAGATTTAATTTTTGTGATATGTAAAGATAATTCATTATGTCTCTTTGGAGTTTAAAGAGTTCAGGTACATTTTGTTGGGAAAATTAGTTTTCTCTTCTGGGTATTTCAAAAGATCAGAGAACTGTCTTTTTTTGTTCACTGCGTTAACTGGGATATGAACCAGTATATATTACTATGCAGGCTAGAAACTATATATTTGAGTTGGTGCTTTGAAAGTTATTTGTATATATTATGAAACACTTAATATTCACCGGATGTATTCAAATTGCCGCTTAGATATTGTTTATATTCTTTTTTTTTTAGCATGTAAAATGTTATACAGTTTTTGTATTTTCAAATCTACGGTTTTGTTACGCTTACATTTTAGTGGATTTAGATATTTTCAATAGATCTTGTACAAATTGATTTCATATCTTGGCATATTTGTGATTATTGGTTGTTAATAACATATTGCTTTATTTTGAGAAGAAGGTATGCTAATGGGAAAAGTGAAGAGAGGCACTGGGTAACATCCTTAATACTTAGTTACGATTATTTTTAGAAAAATGTTAATGTCCTAAAAGAAATTTCAAACTTGAGATGGGATTAGGGTTTTTATAGAATCACCTCCCCCCTTGTTTTTACATGTTATGACATCATAAAAGGAAAAGCAGCCTCGGCGTAAAATATATCCATGGCAAGGGAAAGAAAAGTCTTTTATCTAGATATATTCCATTCCAAAGGAATAGACTGACACTTTTAAATAGATATTCAGATACCACTATTGATATTATGCCAAAGCAATAATCTGGTCATTTATTTCTCCTTGAGTTTGAACGGGGCAACTTTGGAGTCCGTCTGTTTACCAAGGTGCTCTTGCATAAAGAGTTGCGTTTAAAGGCAACTCTGAAAATCAAACGCAAGTCCTAAAAAATCAACATAACATGTGGGTCCGATCGGCTCGCCTATCTAGCTGAGACGACGAGCCATGCTTAATTAATGCAAAGTCATTGTGAATATGCGTACTCTACATAAGATGATATCATCAAGTTGATACCGGTAGCTAGTTATTAGGTTGACAACTTCCGTTTTTCAAAGCTTTAGATTTCAAGTTTCCAGGGAGCTGTTACTCCTGTAAAACTTCTGATAGGGTTTAAACTGTTTCCTTCACTTTGAAACAAGGTTTCTTCCAGGAAGGGCGATCTTGAATGTGTGCATGTGTACATTCACTCTGTTTCTGTACTAGAAGTGTTGCTATTGGTATTGTTTCTTGGTAAAGTAAGGACTAGGTGGGACTACACATTTAAGCTATAAACTAGAAGAGGTAGAAATTGACCGTGACATTAGTACACAGAATATCCCAACACCAAGACGAGGCAGTGGTATAGTGTTTTGAAGTATCAAACCAGAATCCTTGCTGTTCTTGCAGAATTCTTGTCATATGGTGGGCTTCATTGTCATCGGCTACCGTGAATAAGGCTGCTACGACCATTAAAAAAATACTTATTCATGACATCATTTTTGTGGGCAGCCAATGATTTACATCTGTGATAACCGTGTTTGTTTAGTTTCTACTTTCAATTCTATTAACTATTGTGTTTTGTTTATTGGCACAACAAAGATCATGTACGGATGCTGTAACGATAGGCCGTGAAACCTGCATTTATGATAACCACCTGTACAGTAAGATCACCTGTCTATATAGACTATATTCTGATGAAATGTGTAGTTGAACCTGTGTTTAAGACCACTTTTCTTGTAGCCATTGAGTGGTCTTTATATCGAGGTCTCATTTTAATGCATCAATACACCAAATTTATTCCATTTGACGGCAACATCTTGATTTAAGTATTTTTCCAGTTTTCCCCTAGAGATTATTTCATCACGCTAATTTTGTTCCACCGAATTGGTTATAAACAAGACCAAGTTTTTCCTCCCTCGATTGTGTTCGCCATGTACATGTATGTTGTACTTTTCTCTTATAGTAAATTTTGTTGCTAAACGCTCCCTTCTTTTTTAATTTGTTTTGAAATTGTACCTCTAACAAACTATCATAGATTGTGTATAGTTTCCTATTTTTTTAGGAACCGGTGCATCAATGGAATGAACAAAAATATGTTTTGTGTTCTTGTAAATACAAATGTAATACTGTAAATGTTGTCAATATCTGATAACAGAGTTTGAAATGGATTATTTGGATGAGGAATTTGACCAAATTTGCCAGGAAATGGCCTACTTTGTGTGGACTGTATATCATGCTTATAAGATGGATTTAAAAACATGAAATAAAATACTGAAAGCATATGAACATTTCAACTGTGTGGTCTGTATTGTGCTGACTGTTTTGCCAGTTTCTAAATATTTTCTCTTTTAATTTCTGCCCTATTTCGTCATCAAACTTTTTCTTTGTCTTGAAAATTCCATGTTACTGATAATTCTTTCCGCCCTCTTTCCATATCCCTAACATTTTATTAATACCTTCTTTTTTGTTTTCAATGTTTTTATTACATACATGTAGTTTACTGAAAATTGAGAAGGAAAAATATAGAATAGACATAATGACACAAAGAAAGATTATGAAAGGCAGAGAGAAATAAGCACAGCTAGAAACACGTAGTTTTTCTTATTTTTCTCTGCTTTTCTTTTCCTCTCTCTCTCCCATCTCCTTCCTCTTCCTCTTTCTCTCTCTCTTTCTCTTGAAAAGAAACAAGTTTGCATTAGAAACAAATTTGTATTATGAACAATCGCGACCAATAATGCTTACCGGTACAAAGATGTACGATTTATAAGGTGATAATGCTGTATATCACTTATTTTTAATGCCAATACATTGTAAACATTTCAGATTTCATGACATGTAATAATTTGTGCATTTAGTAGTTGTATAAAGCCATACACTGTCATGGCCTTTATGTTACACTCCTAGTATATATAAAGCTACAATTGCAAAAATAGAATATAAATGTATATACACATTTGAATTAATTACAGGTAAAAGTGAATTATTTTCTGTAAAAAAAAAATAATTCAACTTTATAACCTGATGCAATGATATGTACATAGCAAAAGTTTATACATGTATACAGGTAAAATGTAGCATACATGTAAAATGTAGCATGCATGATATAATGATACTTTTACTGAACATTCTACTAAGTAATTGATGATTTGTCTTCTATAGACCCCCCCCCCCCCACTTTCATTGAAACTACAAAAATCATGTTTCTTTTGAGGCTCAAATATATATATATATATATCTGAAGAAATAAAAGTGAAACCGGTCAATCGTTTTAATTATTATTTGTATATTGCCGTGATGTAGGATTATCAAAATTGAATTATTGTTCTATATATTATGTGGTAAACCGTGGCATCCTTTTTAGCATAATATGCTTCATCTTTCTGTATCTCATATCATACAGACAGTGAGAACATGTAGGTCTTTTGCTGCATGCAGCTTCTTTTTTCATCCCTACTTGCTTTTCGTTTACAAAAAAACACAATGTAATGGTTTCCTGCACCATGTGTGTCTGAGCTGTTATATTTATCAACGTTAATGTACCTATGCATGCATGTTCAGACTAAATCACTCTCTGAAAAGAGAAAAAATAACTTTAATACATACTACTTGAAAAGTAGCTCTTTCTTCACAATTAACAGAAAAATGACATATTTCAGTAAGCTTTCATTTGCATGCTGCAGGCTAATGCGGACCTATGTTGCAGTTGGCGCTTTTGCTGATTCAGGAGACAGTGATTTGGTAGAATGGGACTGTACGTTGCAAAATAAGAATCTTGTCCTAACTCTGTTCAGGGCTTATATGTACTCCCTCTTGTATCCAGGGGGGGGGGGGGGGGGGTTGTTTCATAAAGCTGTGTGGATGACTTGAATATGAAGAGCTAAATGGGATTCTCAAATCCTTTTGATTGCATAAGCTAAAGTTGAAATATACAGATGTAGATTAACCTTATCATTATTAGCAAATCATTTTAATGCAAAGTGTATTTTTGGCTACAATTTAATTGAGATTATGGGAAATACAGTCACACTTTGTTAAAATGTCAGGAAAAACTTTGGGCATCCCATTTGGCTCTTCATATTAGAATCATTTGTAAAGTCATTCGTAACTTTACGCACAGCTTTATGAAATACCCCTTGGTCAGGTGGTGGACTTGCGAAGAAAGAACTAATTTTCAAGTTACTTCACCAATCAGCTGAACCTCATTAGTAACTCACAATTGATCTATTTTGTATATAAAACATAATAAAACATATGTACAATGGATGGAATAAAAAAGAGAAATATATAAGTGGCAAATATGAAAGCTCAGCATGCTAGCAATGATACTATCATGAAATTACATGCATATCATAATAATTATTTACAAAATCTTTGTCTCTTTGACCAATAGAAAACCCATGAAAACGATTTATATTTGATCTGCTTGTAGGTGCGCAGCAGAAAAATATGTATCATTATCAATAAAGGAATGTGATAAAAATCATGTAAACCATAATGAATAGTAAGACACTGTGACATAAACATCATATGCCACTATTAGTTTGATTAATAATATACAAAAAGTGTAAATGTACATATACATGTAGGCCTACACAGGTATAATATATGTTATATTGTTAAAATCATACATAATACAAAAAAGCAAAAAAAGAAAATATGTCACATGTACTTTGTTCAAATCTATTGTTTTGTTCTTGCTCAAGAATGATTGAATACAAATTTTCTTTAAAAAAATAAAATAATAATAATATAAAAAGAAAAAGAAAAAAGAAAGAAAATGGGACACTCTTTATTATGCAAAAGTTAATATAGTTTCCACTTTTTATTTTTGCTGAGTGTATAAATAAATATGAAACTGCTACAATGATGTCAGTATAAACTTCAAGAACAAAACCCAAGTTTTAATTCCTACATGTACATATCAAATGAGGATCCGACAAATCATAACAAAATTAAGAATATAAATGATATCACACTACTATCTGCTACATCGATGCAAGTAAAAGTTTACTTTATAAACACATAGTTCACAGCTCACAATCAATTCAATACTTATTTCAGAAATATTACTATTTCATATTAGTATTTTCACGTAGTTTGGAAGGTACACAATTGTCATACACAGTCAATGTTGCATAATTATATTAAAGCGACCCTTTTATTGTGCATAATTTTATAATTGGCCCTGTGATGTCACAATGGCCATCAGGAAGTATTTTACATTAAAGTTGGCTTACTAATGTACAAAACTTAGATTTGATCTGAACAAGCAACTTGAGCCATTTTACTTAGCGAAGCTACATGTATATGCCAAGTAGAATACTGATATACCTGTAATTCAAGTATTGAATTGAATACAGGCCCTGATATTCATTGCTAATCTGGTACATGTATACATAAGAAAGGTTTAATGAAATGGAGAATAATTTTTAAGCCTCTGAAACTGGATTATAGCATTGTTGCAGATTGAAAGATGAACAGAAAAAAAATCACAACTCGCATTATCTATCTATATCTACAGGTAATAAGGTAATAAGTAGATAATAAGGTAATAAGTAAATAAATGTACAACATGATCGGGCTATAAAACATGAAATTAGTATAAAAACATTAAAAAAAATTCCCCTCCATTTATGAATTTCTATTGAAGATAATTCTATTGCACACTAAACACTTCACTACATGGACTATGGACAAGTAAACATTCAAAACAGTCAAATCTTTTGACTACATTGCATAGCAAAATTTCTTTTTACATGACTTACATACAGATATACAGTTTGCGAGGGAGTTCTGTAACATAAATAATAGACCAGTTACTAACATGTTCAAATGTATGGATTTTTCTTTCCTGGGAACGAGTTATTCCATCGACCTGTAATCAATGCATGAACTACAATACTCAGAATCCAGTCTGCATACATTACTTGTTGCTACATGTATGTCGTGCTGGATATGAATTGACTACATGTCACAGACAAAGAACTGGAATCTCCTGATTTAGTCATCATTTTTGTGCAAAATCTTAAATTCCCCAAAAGGAATTTGAGGTATAAATGTACACTACCTTATATTCGCACACTGACATTCCAGCCTCTTTTGAATAGTTTTTGTTCTAAAAAGAATATACATGGATTTATTATTATCATTATTTTTTAGAAGATAACAATAAAGTCAATTACTGAATTCTCTGGCCTGTATGACGTATACTGCAGCATTGCAGGAAGTTTAATTGATCATACCAGCCTCTACATTTTTTCTTCTTCGATTGAAATGTTCATTGTATCTACAAAGTTCATTGCATTTGAAAATTAATTGAAACATGATCATCAGTCTCACAAAGAGGAAAATTACAAACCTTTATGACACCATATATCATATACATAATACAGCCAAAACTGTCTATAGCAACCACTCAAGGGAAGCACAAAAAGTGGTCTTTGTAGACAGGTTCCTTTAGTACATGTTTCAATGAGAAACCATTTTCAAGGGAAACAACAAATGTGGTCTTTGTAGACAGGTGGTCAACTAAAGCAGGTTTGACTGTACACATAATACTATCAAAAGTATTGCATACATGTAGGTTCAAGGTGTCCGATGCATTTTGCAATCCGTTGAAAAATGTCATAAATGGGTCACAATTAGCACCAAACCCTTATAATTATATTTTGTAAGATAATGAATATTACGCAAAACACCACCGTTTCTTTCTCAAACATTACGAGCACGGAATACTGGACAACTCGCTGATAATTCAAAATGATACCCTGCGGTTGCCATAACGTCACACACATGTACAATGGCAGTTTCAGATTCCTAAACCTCAGATTGGTGTTCTTAAATACGTTCTTCTCCATAACCATTCTATTCAAAGGAAATTATACCTTATGCCAGTAGGGAGGATGCGCTGCCTTTAAATTCTCTAAACCTGAATGAGATTAGATAAATGGAGCTAGGGTTTTTCCAAACCCTTTCATATTGCAATACCCCCATACCACATGCATCTACATACACACGCAATCTACTCTACTTAATAACTAATCATTTGAACCATACATGGAAACGAGTAGGTGGTACCATTTGATATTGCAATACCCCCATATCACATGCATCTAGCTACACACACTATCTACTCTACTACAAAACTAATTGTTTGTACCATACATGGAAATGAATAGGTGGTACATTGGGTCTTCATCAATATCCTTTGATATTGCAATACCCCCATATCAACATGCATCTAGCTACACACGCTATCTACTCTACTTCAAAACTAATCATTCAAACCATACACGGAAATGACCAGGTGGTGCTATGGGCTTCCAATACCCTTTGATATTGCAATACCCCTACATCACATGCATCTAATTAATAAATATTCAAGCTAAAATACTTCAAAAACATATCATTTGAACCATACATGGAAATGCACAGGTGGTGCTAAGGAGAGTAACATGACATTGCTCTGGCAACATTTGCTCAAGGCTTTATTTTACCATAGATGTAGAGTTTGATTTAGCTTAGCAAGTGGGTTTACTGCTTGGTTTACATTATGATTAGCTTATTGGGACATTGTGTGGGTCCAGGGTGGCAGTTAATAGGAATTCACTTAATAGTGTAAGAAATTTGGCCTTCTCGCGAAAATAAGTTGCTGGTCATGGAGCGTGTAAAGTCTATGGGGTAGCGGACTCCCATAGGCATTACACGCAATGAACTGCTATGTACAAAGTGAAAGAGTAGCGGCGGATTTCACGAGAACGCCGGAAAAGGACGGCAGATAAATTGCTGCTGGAGCATGTGTCATAAAACCTTTGATACTCGTTCATTTTGCCACACCCCTGAACATATTTCAGAACTATAATCAGACATGAAATTGAATATGTGGTGCGAGGGGCCTTACGTGGTGAAGCTTTTCTTAATGTTGACATTCTGATACTGTTCTTTCAGCTGACATACAATAAACCAATCCATTTTGCCATACCCAAACATCACACACAGCTACCGACATACTCCATCTAACACATCCCCTGTTTGGAGCCAGAAGGGCATTAACTCCATTTAAAATGATGACTTTACGCCCTCTTGCCTCCAAACAATATATATCAATCCTGACCCAACATGAATATGATTGGGTGGTGCGAGGGGCCTTAGTGACATAGTGAAGCTTTTCTTAATGTTGACACTCTCATATTATTATTTCAGCTGACATACATACACCAATCCAATCCATTGTACCAAGCAGCCATACTCCATCTAACACATCCCCTGTTTGAAGCTAGAAACTCCATGTAAAACAATATATCACACCTGACCCAATGTGAATATGAGTAGGTGGTGCGAGGGGCCTTACGTAGTGAAGCTTTTCTTAATGTTGACATATTCATACTGTTCTTTCAGCTGATATACCATACTCCAAAATCACATACAGCTACCTGCATACTCCATCTGTTTAGAGCCAGAAAAGCATTAACTACATGTAAAATAATGATGACAACTTTACGCCCTCTTGCCTCCAAACGATATATATATATCAAACCTGACCCAACGTGAATATGAGTAGGTAGTGCGAGGGGCCTTACATAGTGAAGCTTTTCTCAATGTTGACACACTTATACTATTATTTCAGCTGACATACACCAATCCAATCCATTGTACCAAGCAGCCATACTCCATCTAACACATCCCCTATTTGGAGCTAGAAACTCCATGTAAAACAATATATAAAACCTGACCCAACATGAATATGATTATGTGGTCGTGAAGCTTTTCTTGATGTCAGTGTGACGATACTGCTCTCTGAGCTTGGAGACTACATCTAACGTGAGCTGCTGGCAGAATGAAACATCCAGGAAGACTAGCTTGGTACACTTGTCCAGTACCCTGTTAAACAAAAATAATAATAATAATGATAGTGGGTTCTTGTATACGGCTCATGTCTGTCAGACTTGACACTCCTGGCGCTCCAAAGTTATTACCCGGCTTTAGCATGGCTGCCACTACGGCGCTCTAGCATTTCAAGAAATTAATTCTACAGGGTACCATTTAACATCACCTGGGTTGAGTGTGGCAAATGTACAGATACTAGTTGTAGACAAAACAGCAATAAACCGCCTGTCACACATGAGTCAATTACTGAGTGATGCAATAAGCCTCATCAGTGAATACGACTGTTCTGCCTGAGTGACCTGCAATTATTATCATCCCAACATAGCACCACACCCATAAATGCGCCTTGTCAAAGTGACATCCTACAAAAATCTATTTTCAGGTAAAATGATTCTTGTTTTATGGTCTTTACCATACAGAAAAATTATAGTAAAATGACCAATTAATTTCATTGGTTTTAGAGAAATATATGTTCATTGTTTTGAAGATTAATGTTCCAAAATGGATATCCACCTCGATACAAAGTTGGATTTAATAAAAAATGAACAATGAAAGGATAGTTTTCCAGCAAAGAATGAAATTTTGAATTTGCACAGTTGTAATTGATTACACATATATTTAAAACTCCATCGTCTCCTTTGCGAACAGCCCTCTATTTACATTTTACAGATAATTTTCACAAATTTCCCTCTAAATCTCCAAATATTTGTCTAGGGCATATGTATAAGAAAAAAACTGAAGAAATATGGAAAACCACAATTTACCTTGTTATACCGTTTAGGCTTACACGTTGAGCTCCTAACAGGTCCAATTGTTCCAGATCTGGCAAGTTAGATGCTATTGAGTACAGGTCACCATCTGCTATGCTCCTGTTCATACAATCAATTAATCCAATTACAGTTATATTAAAGTTTCCAACATGTATTTCTTACATTTGTTTTAAATGCTTATAATTGATTTGTAATGTTTTGTTGGTAACATGAATAAATTTGAAACTTTGAAACTTTGAAAGTTCCTCTACAGTGATGGCAAAATTTCACTTAAATTGTATCATAATGTGAAAGAGGATGTCATTTAAGACAGACTTTTGCAAAGAAAAACCTAAATTGTGTATTCTTTCATCAATTTTCAACTTCAAAAACATTTGTTTTGAAAAATCCTTGCAGAAATGTGTCTTAAATGACATCCTCTTTCACATTTTGATAAAATTTAAGTGAAATAAAACTAGATGGAACTTCGACTGGAAGCAGCCGAAAATGATGCCTCCGTTATAGAGCGATTTTACAAACCAAAACAGAAGCAATTTTTCAAATTCAAGTTTGATTATAATCCATTAACAGGTTCTCAGAATATCGTGATTACAAGCTATTTTTCACATACATGTATGACCCTTTGATCTTTGACCTCATGACCCTAAAATCTAATCAGTTCATTGGATTGCAAGATACATACATGTCCTATTAAAGTTTGACCTACCGTATAGATGTTAACAACAGCTTCTTGAGCTTGGGACAGCCAGAGACAAGCTTTCTTAGCCAAGTGGTATTCACACTAAGATCAGAGCTAGAGTGGAAAAAAGATAAGGGTAACAAGTCAATGGACACATTTTTTAATACAAATCCAACTTCTTAATATGATTGCAAATGATTCATTTACTGAAACCTTAAGTTCATAGAATGATAAATTATTCACAACATTGTAAGTATTACTAGTATATATATATATATATACAAGGCATACTAAATCAAGATATGTACTGAATGCAGTGCTATTTAATTTTTTTTAAAGAAATGTTGATAATTCAGTCCACAAAAGGTTATGAAAATGTTAAGTTCAAGCAGATTAATACAGCCTGTTAGTAGAATGGGGAAGGGGCATTGAAGGCAAAGATTGGGAGAGGGGTTGCCAGGGTGTAAGGGGAAGATTAGCCGTTAGGAGAGGACTGGGGTGGAGGTTAGGAGGAGGGTGGGGAGGGGTAAGGGGTGATGAGGGTAAGGGGGTAGGGGTTAAAAAGTAAGACACACCACTATCCTCTATAAAGTTCAAGTTTAGTATGGCAGTCTACTGCTAGACTGGTGGATGGGTGGGAGGGGCTTAAGGGGGAGGGGAGGGAGGGGTGGGAGGCCTAGGTTAAAGGTGGGGGCGGGGGGAAGGGATTAGGGTGTAAGACTTACCACCATCCTATATAATAATAATAATAATAATATAGAGTATTTGTAATGTGCCAACTCCACATGACTAATGTGTTTGAGGCGCATGGAGAAGAAAAACTATAAGTACACAAAAATACCAAAAAGAAAATGAACAATAACAATGTGAAAGTAAATCTAAATCTACTGGAAAGCCGCTTTGAACAAATGAGTTTTGAGGGCATGTTTAAAGCAATCTACACTTGAAATATAACGAATATAACGAATATATTGATTCCATAAAGTCCAAGTTCAATATGTCAATCTACTGCTAGACTAGTGGAGGGGTGGGAGGGGGTTAAGGGGGGGGGGGGGGAGGGGTGGGAGGCCTAGTGTGAGGGTGGGGGCGGGAAGGGATTAGTGTGTAAGACTTACCACCATCCTACATCAAGTTCTAGTAGATTGGGGCAGCCTGCTGCAAGGTATCCCAATCCAACGAAAGACAAAGTTTTAGCTCTCCACAAATCTAGGTTTTCCAACCGTCTATAATGCAGGAAGAAGGAAGAAAAACAAAGAACAAAAAAAAAATCTTTAATCATAAAATACATGATTGCATTACCATGATCAACCAGGGCCCCGTTTCATAAAAACTTGTTATCAATGCTAAAGTTCTATGAAAAATTTGCTCTCAGCCAACTTCCGTTTTACAAAGCTTTAGATCTCTGGTATTCTTTCATTTTTCACTTCCGACAGCTTCTTTAAGAAATTTATTTCATAATGGATAACCATTTACTTGGACTTCACCTGGGTGGAGAGAGGCAAAACAAAAGAAGATGCAACTTACGGACAGGTCTGTGATAGCTGTAGGATGACGTTATCCAGCGTGGAAACGAACCGTATCCCTCCTAGGTTTAGATTCCTCATCTGAGGTGTATGGCTGCGGAATAAACAAACGGAACATAATAAATACAGTCAAACCTGCTTTAGCGACCACCTGTATAGAAAGACCACCTGTCTCCAAAGACCACATTTTTGTTTCCCTTGAAATTGGTTTCTCATTGAAACATGTACTAAAGGAACCTGTACACTTCTCTTGTCTCCCTTGGGCGGTCTTTATAGACAGGTTTGATTGCAGTACCAGTATATAATAAACAGTAAATAAAAACAACAACAGAAACAACGATAGGATTGTATCTAAGGGGAAGTTCACTTGACCTTCCTTATCTACAATTTCATGATGAAGAAGACATTTTGTCTGACTTTTTTTCAAACTATATATATATTTTTTTTTTCTGTTTCAACTCGGGCGAAAGTTAAGAAACTGACACCTGAATGTAAGACTTGCCTAAAGATCTGGATCATTGCTGCCTAAAAATAAAACAGCAATTAAAAAAAAACATATTTTCCTCTTTCTTTACTCATATCTTTCTCTTTTTTATTCAAATTTCAACTTAAGCTAAAAACTTTCTATGGACGTCTGACTTCTCCCTTTAAATTAATTTGAAAGAGTGTGAATACGATACCTGAAGATCTGGATCATTTCAGCCTCGGTTATTTTGGCACGGTACAGGTTGAGTGTTTCTAGATTCTTGAGTGAGTGCAGACAGCCGTAGCTGTTGGGTGTTAAACTGCGGCAGGATGATAGATTGAGCTCTAGAAGTAGATTAAAAACAATAATGAGAATATTAACTTTAACAATGTTGAATCTGAGATGCACGACCCTACGTGTTATCAGTGTCTGTGATATGGTGTAATATTGAAGCCCTAAAAAAATTGCACTTCAAAATGATCATGAAGTGCCTCAAAAAAGTAAAAATCTTAGAGTGACCGGTTTTACCATACTCGTTTTCCCCAATAGGCTGTAGTGTTATGAAAACCATTTGGCAAACGGTTTTCAAAATTTGTAATTCCAATCATAAATATCTTGATAATCAGAGAGACGATTGGCTTGTAAAAGTCATGGATTTCCTGACTGACCTAAAGGTTTATAATTATCATTGCAGCATGAGCTAAACCCAAGATTTTGTTTCAGAATCTGAGACGAAGTTACCAGATCCCTTTTAGTGGCACATTACAAATAATTTCATTCACCTGTTTCTAATAAATATATTTCAATCGTCAAATTGTAAATTGCATACATTAATTGTTGCTAGGTAGGACAAACATTATGGCTTGCCCTACCCAACAACACGTAATGTTGCAATAAATACAATTATTACAAATAATTTGAAATGAGGCACTTAAAGGTACTATGTCCCATTTGCAGGCCCAAAAAATGGAAAGGTTAAATTTCAACGGCATTTGAAAGATAATACCAATTTAGAACTTCCCTAAAAAAGGTGGGGCTTGAAAATGTCTTCAAGTGGCAAAATAATCAGTATTAGTTGTCAAATCGACTTAGGAGCTATAGAGCTTAAAAGTAATAGTCTTGATTTCCAGACCATTGTACCGAATGGTCATACGTTTTGTGCTGCACAAAGATTCAATCAGTTTAATTTTGGCCATCACAAGAAGTGGGTTATTGATGTAGACAAATGCTCATGTACCCTTTACAGCTCATTTTATGTATGTTATTACCAAAGAAGAAAAATAGCCAGTCACTCACTCAATACTGTCAGACAGTGAAGTCTAGCAAGTAAACGGGTTTCCTTGCATAATTTGAATATTAGGACACTGCTAACGTTTAAATTTCACAGATAGGACATACATGACATATTCATAATTTCTGCAAAGTTCTACAGAATTTGAGGTTGGCTGCAAAAGGGACATAGTACCTTTAACAAAGACTTATGCAAGATGAAGTTATCTCTAGATTCAATATACAGGTTTACTATAATTTAAACATATTCAGATTTCATGCATACAATTAAAATAAATTAAATTTGTTCTTGACAACCTAATGTTTCCCAAGGCTTGTCCGACATAGCAACAGGTAATGCTGGCTCGAAGTCTTGAAGTTCTTTCATTAATAACAGGTTCATGGAATAACCCATCACGAGGTCCCCAGGAAAGAAATATCAATAAATTTGAACATCATAGTAAACCAGTGTAATGAAAGACCAATAATATCAACTAAAACAATAATAGAAGACAATATTTGTATGAGAATTTAAATACATGTACATGAAGAGCTATACAGTGCGTCCCAGAAAAAATGAAACCGAGAACTTTCGATGTTTTATCATAACTTAATCACAATTATAATTCATAAATGACACATATTTAGAAAGCTTAGATCCTCCTCTTTCATTTGATGCAACTCATATGATTCATATCTCACGCATGAGTGATTACAAGCAATTTGAAGAGAGGAAACTAAAAAATCATTTGGCGGGCGGTATCTGAAAGAAGATGGGCAAATATGAATACTTATTAGATATGGATCGCATTGCATTTTACAGGGGAAAAAATATTATAAAATTTAGCTTTGTTTCTTTTATTAGCCTTTCCTATCTTACAAGAATGCCTTTATAGCTTTCATAAAGATTGGGGCGGGGGGCACAAAAGGAATTTTTCATTGGAGGAAACTAAAATATTGTGCTTTTATAGATGAAAGAATGAAGTTACCTTTGAGTTTGGTACAAACGGTTGCTATGGCTTCGAGTGTTTCACTAGTCACAAATCGACATGCCTTCAATCTCAGTGACTTGAGTTCATTTCCACACATGAATAGAAAACTGCAGGTGGGAGAAGAGTGAGGACGTGATGATAAAACAAAGCGTATATAAAAAAATTAATTAAATATGAATCTTGGGTTTTCATTGCTAACCATCATCATCACAATCCTCCTCCTCCTCCTCATCTTCATCATCATCATCATCAGCATCACTACCATCATCATCGTCATCAGTGTTATTCATACTATAATCAGCATCACTACCATCATCACCATCATCATCACCATCATCACCATCATCATCACCATCATCATCATCATCACCATCATTATCATCATCATCACCATCATCATCACCATCACCATTATCATCATCACCATCATTATCATCATCATCATCACCATCATCATCATCATCATCATCACCATCATCATCATCATCATCATCATCACCATCACCATCACCACCACCATCATCATCACAATCCTCCTCCTCCTCCTCATCTTCATCATCATCAGCATCACTACCATCATCATCGTCATCAGTGTTATTCATTACTATCATCAGCATCACTACCATCATCACCATCACCACCACCATCATCATCATCATCACCATTATCATCATCATCATCATCATCATCACTACCACCACCACCATCATCACCACCACCACCACCACTATCATCACCATCATCAACACCACCACCACCACCACCATCATCATCATCATCATCACCATTATCATCATCATCATCATCATCATCACTACCACCACCACCATCATCACCACCACCACCACCACTATCATCACCATCATCAACACCACCACCACCACCACCATCATCATCATCATCATCACCATTATCATCATCATCATCATCATCACCATCATCATCACCATCATCATTATCATCACCACCATCACCATCATCATCACCATCACCATCATCACCATCATTATCATCATCATCACCATCATCATCATCACCATCATCATCAGTAGATGCCAACCTTCTTTAACAAAAAAAGTATTCTTAAGAGCAAAAAACAGTATTTTTGAAAAAATCTCTCAACTTAACATATCGCCCAATCGAGCAGCTTAAAAACCCGGCAGTACCACGTATACATGTACGTACCCGGATCGGAGCGCGACGTGCATACATTACACGTGGGTGGTTCACAATGTGCGCAGTTTGGGGCCCGTATCACCATCCTGCGTGCATTGTTTGAAGATGTAGGTGCATAATACACTTACAACACAAAGCCCATGATCAGAAATAAAGAAAAAAAAAAAAAAAAAAAAAAACGTAACAAAACATCCAAAAAAATGTACTGCCGTATTCAAAGCGAAAAAACAGAACAAATACGGCAAGAACGGAACAGTTGACATCTCTGCATCACCATCATCACCACCACCACCACCATCACCATCATCATCATCATCACCATCACCACCCCCACTACCATCATCATCACCGTGATCATCACTGGAGCATGTAATACAGAAATGAAGAACACTGATGAACTTACCTATTGAAATCCTTTGATGCAATTTTCCCCCAGTCCCCGCACCATGATATATCCAACATCTGCAGCTGCCTGCATCTCTCTGTTAAACCATACAGCGAGTCTCCTGATACCTTTATACATGAAGATATTAAAGGTAAAGATCAGTTTTGGAAACGCCCCCCTCTCAAAACATGAAATGGAAGCTCGTATTACCAATCATGTGAAAGAATATGTTTTGACTAATACGTGATCATACAAATTTTGCCGAGAAACCGCCTACTAATTGATATACCGGTATTTGGTAAATTTGCTCCTCCTCCTCCCTCCTCCTCCTCCTCCCTCCTCCCTCCCTCCCTCCCTCCCTCCCTCCTCCTCCTCCTCCTCCTCCTCCTCCTCCTCCTCCTCCTCCTCCCCCCTCCCCCTCCTCCTCCTTCTCCTCCTCCTCAATATTATTGTACATATACTTGGAAAAATCATTTTAATCATATTACCACTGTCCAGTAGGGCTGTAAGTTGAGTTCCACATAGAGAAGCTGGTCATAACAATGTTTCCTAAACAGAGTGCATGTCGTTGCGGCTACACACAAGTCATCCAGACTAAGGTACTTGAAAATCAATTGGATCAGCTCACCCTAAGACACAAAAACAGATGATTAAGCTACAGATTTATAAAGGCCTACATAAGACCAAACACCCCCTTCAATACTCTTATGATTTGATACTCTTAGGAGGCATAACATCACCCGTAAAAGAAATTGTTGAGACATCCTAATTGTTAAGGATTTAAAGTGAATAAGGGGAAATTCTATTTTGGTATAGCAAGGCTTGATAACTAGTTTACTGACAAGTTGATTTCATCTTGTAAATCTTGTAATCTTACAACTTTATAGAAATAATTTCTGAAGGTGAAATTTTGAATACGATACAGGCATAGAACCTGAAACACAGAGAGCAAACCCGACCCCCCCCCCGAAAAAAAAAAAATAGTTCAATTACACATTAAGTACAACAACAACCAAAACTTGTGACCACAACAAATATAAAAAACGACCCTCAAAGCACAAAAAACTCAAAGTCAGAGAATTTTTTAGTAAAGAGCACCTAAGCATATCGGCCCTGTTCTATGAAATGTTATCAATAATAAGTTACAATAACCGTTACAAGCTACTGAAATTGTAGAATTTTTGATTGGCCGAGAGCAAATTTGTAATAGACATTTTAGCATTTGTTACTGATAACAAGTTTTATGAAACAAGGCCACGATTTAATTGCCACAGATGATCTTGGTGTCTAACAAATTGCCTAGTCTCTCAGGGTGGTGTTCTCAAAAGCGGACTAACTTCAGTCCGTGGTTTAATCCACCAACTAAGTATGGAATGCCAAGTGTCCATATGAATATATTTTTGAATAATTAGATATGACCCTGAATTATCATGATAACATAATTATATCAAAGTTATATTTTTGGTCATTAGTTATCTTATTAGATTTTGTTTCAATTTAGTGATATGGACACATGGCATTCCATACTTAGTCGGTGGATTAAACCATGGACTAAAGTTAGTCTGCTTTCAGAAAACCATCCTCAGAACTTACCGGAAGCATATCAAAGCAGCCATTATCCATGGCAGGCAGAACTTGGTTGGCATACTCGCAGGAAGAACCCTTTGACCTATTCTCCTTCAGGGTCAGGTCCTGGAGACGTTGGAGGTAGACGTCATCGATGTCGGTTCCATCGTCTTCCAGCGACGTCGTGCCGATCAGCTCCACGCTGTCTAGCTCGGTGTAGTAGTCGCTGTAGCGGTGGTCAAAGACAAGTCTGATCAGGCTGGAAAGCGATAAAAGGGTGAGAAAAAGTCTGATTAAAGCCCGTCTGCACAAGTTTGGCCAGGGGGATTAGACCTCCCTGCAAGGTCACTGACAGGTGGTTATCTCATCAAATAAGCTCTCAAAAAGGGGATCATGGGGGACCAAGAGGCACCGATTAGGCATTGTTTGCTATATAGAGGGCGCAAGTAGCTATAAGTAGTGCAGTGGTGTTTTAAGCAGAGATTTTGATCTGACTCTGTCATGCAGATCAGCTCATCGCTGTCTAGCTTGGTGTAGTAATCGCTGAAGTCGTGGTCACACACAAATCTGATAAGACTGAAGGAAGGGGTAAGGGGGAAATACTGACAAACAAGAGTTTCTTGGAAAGGAGGTGTTGTGGTCTAACAGAGAAGCCACCAGACTGTGAACCAAAGGGGTACATGGTTCAAAACATTGCCAAAGGACGTTCGTGCTGAAGTTAATCTACATTTGCAGCTACATTTGGATACCCGATAGGATGTAAAAGTTTATGTAGTTTGCTCAGCATTATGAGCGTCTGTAATATAATGATGCCTGGCTGGAATGCTCCCCAGGGAGTGGAGAATGTGCATATATTTAGTGCTGGCAAGCCTGAATCTGATGACCAGGGTAATAATATAACTGTAAAGTGCCTAGAGACACCAATGATGTATTAAGTGCTATATAAAAGCGAAATATTATTATTATTATTAACATGTGCTTACTTCGTTTTTGCGTTGATGTTTCTGATGGGGGGAGAAAACATTTGTGGTTGGAAATGTTTATCGTCTGCTTCACCAGCCCATAATACATGCCACCTGTAAAGAGAGAAAGAAAGAAGGCCATAGGAAAGAGAACGATAGATAGAGAGGGAGAGAGAGAGAGAGGGAGAGAGAGAGAGAGAGAGAGAAGGAGGGGATGGGGGTGGGAACAGAGAGAGAGAGAGAGAAAGAGAGTGAGAGTGAGCGAGTGAGAGAGAGGGAGGGAGGGAGAGAGAGAGAGAAACAAAGAGAGAGAAAGGCAGACAAAGACAGAATGAAATAAAAGAAAAGAGAGTAAATATAAAGCAAGATAAGGCAATTTGTAATGATCATTCTTTCATGCCAGGTTTACATTATGTTCCCAGCGGCCACGGCAATCACGTTTCAGGCCACTGTGGATAAAACGGGATGGACGTGAGACAACGTGGGGTGACAGAATGGGCAAAAGTGACAGGCCGTGATTGCCAGGCCAGATTTTTAAACTGTCAACAAATTTGCCACGGTACAGATGAGAAACCTAGTAGGCCATAGTAAAACGGGGTGAACGCAACAAAACGTGATAGTACGTAATAAAAAAACTTGGCAAGACCTAACAAAACTTGAAAACAGAGAAAAAATGGCAAAAATCCCACAGCGCACTACATTTTGGCAAACGAGGCTGCCGTAGCTGCCGGGAACATAATGTAAACCTAGCATTAGATGACACATGATTAAAATACAATCATTGTGAGTAAGATGACCATTTCATTTTTTTTGACTTCCAGAGAATTTGACGATTGAACAGCATGTCTGGACTAAGCAGATCCACATTATTCCTGTCCAGGAACAAAAAGACATATATGCCTACATGTATGTAGGGAAAAACATTATACCTAATTTATGAATAAAACAAAGCATTTTAAGTAAAATTGTACCTTTAATACTATTCACAATTTCACATACATTTAATTAATATAAATATATCTTAGAAAGCATATAAACTCCCCAAGAATTTGAGGATGAACAGCATGTCTGGACTAAGAAGATCCCATTATACCAAATTTATGAATAAAACAAAGCATTTTATTAAAGTAAACTTGTACCTTTAATACTACCGGTATTCACAATTTCACATACATTTAATTAACATAAATATATCTTAGGAAGCATATAACCAAACGTACCTGGAGTGATTATTTAGTAAAAAGGGGCCTCCACTGTCCCCGGGGCCTTCTATCTCTGCACCGCATATCTGAATGACCGAGCCTGGGTGGTAGGTTTCATAAATTTTGATCGCTGTAGGAAGAACTTTCTCTTCAAAGAATAGATCTGGAGGAGAAATAAAAGGGTGATAAAAGTAATTATATTCCACATACTAAGAATCTTGTTCTACGATTGGTCAAAAGTAAATCATGTGATGAAAGATAGTTCGCCCATCATTGCTGGGAGAAGCAAAAAGTTTGTTACACTGTGTAGACTATACAGTGCGTCCCAGAAAAAACGAAACCGAGAACTATCGATGTTTTATCATAACTTAATCCCCATTATAATTCATAAATGACACATATTTGGAAAGCTTAGATCCTCTTCTTTCAATTGATGCAAATCGTATGATGCATATTTCACGCATGAGTGATTAAAAGCAATTTGAAGAGAGGAAACCAAAAAGTAATATGGCGGGCGGTATCTGAATTTCAAGGAGAAAATCACATTTCTAGAAAGTTCAATTTCTGCCCTTTCATATGACACCTCAATCAGGAAAAACGAGACAGGAATAACAACGTCATGTTTGTTTAAAGTAATGCTTGCATTTCCATAATTTGATCAAACAAATCCATTTTCACTGGCTACCTGCTGTAGCAACAAACAGAGTTGACAAAAGACTTAACTCTGTTTCGTTGAAGATCAGCCATGCATCAGGTCTTTCGTCTTCTTTGTGCATGGCTGATTGTGAGGCAGGCATCCAGTGAAAACGAACTTGTTTGATCAAATTATGGAAATGCAAGCCTTACTTTAAACAAACAGAACTTTTTTATTCCTGGGTCATTTTTCCTGATTGAGGTGTCATTTGAAAGGGCAGAAATTGAACTTTCTAGAAATGTGATTTTCCTTTTAAATTCAGATACCGCCCCCCAAATGACTTTTTGATTTCCTCTCTTCAAATTGCTTGTAATCACTCATGCGTGAGATATGAATCATACGAGGGAGAGGAGGATCTAAGCTTTCCAAATATGTGTCATTTATTAATTATAATTGTGGTAAAGTTATGATAAAACATTGATAATTCTCGGTTTTGTCTTTTCTGGGACGCACTGTATACACAGTGCAACACACTTTCACTTATTTAAAGATAGAAGTCCTATCTACACAGTGCAATGCACTTTAATTGTATACGCTGCGTATTGCTCTCCTCTTTAAGCGCTTTTAGTGTTAGTACGCAAACTTTGGCCAGGCGCGAACTATATGGTCACACCACCATACTGCATGCACTGTACGTATCGTAAACCGTTTTTTAGCTGTTAATTGATGACTTGTTGCTCTAAAATGAAGGAAGAGGTGAAATGTTTCCGATGTAGAATATAAAGCAAATTATCCCCTTTTGGTTTCAGGCGATGGCAAACTATCACTTTCTCAGCGATCTGAATGTACACGCTATCATTCCTCAGCTTCGCTTCGGAAAGATGGCTACATCCAGATCGCCTCGGAAGTGATAGTTTGTCCCATCACCTTCACCAACGGTAGTCATTTGCTTATTACATTTAGGTCTTCTTTTAAAAATCATCTACCGGTACATGTTAACTTGATACTTAGTCAAAGGTTTTCCCACAGTGCACACTCTCGTGATTAAAAATTACTCCTGAACCATTGATTTTGAATTCTTTCAAAATGAAAATAGCTACAAGATCATCACTTTGGATAGATCAGAGTTATAACTTATTGTCAGGTTAAAAAATATATTTTCTTAATTCGCCCCTTTTGGATGTCCTTTCTCCCACCTCAAATTTCACTTCAGGTTTCGAAAAGAAGATGGTTTTCAGATAGTGATGTTTATGTTCAGAATCTAATCACAAACTGATTTCAATCAGCGACCTTACTTATGACTTTGCATTTCACCAAAACTTCATATGTGTATGCACATTTTTATTTAACATTTCCTGTAGTTTATACCTTTTAAGTTGTAAAGGCAGAAATGTATACAAAAATGACACACCAAGAGGGAAATTACTTAAACATGTAATTGTGTCTTACAGTCTTCACTTGTTGATATTTTGTAAATTATACAATCCTGTATGAAAATGTTATTAATAATATTATTGGCAGGAGGCAAGATGGCTCAGTGGTAGAGCAATGGTCTTGTAACCTGGAGGTCCTGGGTCTGAAACCAGTTGATGCGCCAGTGCTCTTTGGTAAGGCATCAGTCCTCATTACCAGGTCTAACGGAGAGTACTTAAAGGTACTATGTCCCTTTTGCAGCCAACCTCAAATTCTGTAGAACTTTGCAGGAATTATGAATATGTCATGTATGTCCTATCTGTGAAATTTAAACGTTAGCAGTGTCCTCATATTCAAATTATGCAAGGAAACCGTTTACTTGCTAGACTTCACTGTCAGACACTATTGAGTGACTGACTGGCTTTTTTTCTTCTTTGGTAATAACATACATGAAAAGAGTTGTAAAGGTTACATGAGCATTTGTGTACATCAATAACCCACTTCTTGTGATGGCCAAGATTAAACTGATTGAATCTTTGCGCAGCATAAAATGTATGACCATTCGGTACAATTGTCTGAAAATCAAGACTATTACTTTTGGGCTCTATATCCCTAAAGTCGATTTGACAACTAATAGTCATTATTTTCCCACTTGAAGACATTTTCAAGCCCCACCTTTTTTAGGGAAGTTCTAAATAAGTATTATCTTTCAAATGCAGTTGGAATTTAACTTTTTCATTTTTTTGGCCTGCAAATTGGACATAGTACCTTTAAAGCCGTCAGTCCCCTGGTTGCTTACTCAAAAGCATACTCATGCTTACTTAGGAGTCGGGTAAAACAAATATAAATATATAAAGGAGTACTTTTTGAGAGAGGGCCTACCTATGAAGTCGTTGCCTCTGAAGTCACCTATCTTTCCAAACTTCTTCTCTGCAGAAGGTGCCATGTCCCACCATGTTCCATAGGTACGCTGTATGAGAACAAAAATAGTTAATTATGATAATAAATATGATGATAACACCAAATTACACAATAACACCACTACTACAGTATTACTAAAATAATAATTAAAATATACTGCTACTACTTCTACTATTACTTCTACAGTCAAACCTGTCTCTAGCGACCACCCAAGGGAAACACAAAAAGTGACCTTTGTAGACAGGTGGTCTTTGTAGACAGGTTCATTTAGTAAATGATACAATTAGAAACCATTTTCAAGGGAAAGAACAAATGTGGCCTTTGTAGACAGGTGGTCACTAAAGCAGGTTTGACTACTACTACTACTACTACTACTACTACGACGACGACGACGACCAACACCACCACTACTACTACAACTGCTACTACAAATTCTTCTTTCTTTTATCTTCTTCCACTATTGTATTTTTAAAAAACAAGGGTAGCCTCATTTAATAGTACCAAATACTGTAAGTGTGCTAAATAAGGAAACAGGGGGAGGGGTATGGACAGATAAGTGAAATCGTTCTAATCCAATTGTTAAAACAGTTGAATTGATTGAATTAAGACAAATTAAAGTTTGAACACAATACATTAAACTAGCACAAATGAGGTTACAATTTTTCAGTAATTCAGTTCCAATACAATATGTATGGAATCTCAGCTTGATGATGGAGTCATACAACTTGAACCTGTCTAGATTCAAACTTTCACTAATCTTCTCCAATTTTTCTGCTTCCTACCAATCAACTTAATCCTCCATTTGAATTTCCCTTTAACCCTGGGTTGTCATTTCAAGGGGGAGGGGGGGGGGGGGGTCATTTGAAGTTCAATGATTAGGTCATATGTGAAACATAAGGCCTGTCTTCATCAGCTTGAGGTTGCCAAATTAACCGCTATTTCAACTATCCTGATCGCAAATTAACAAGTTAATTTGCACTTCATCAGCCTGCAGTTGCAATTAGAGGGATATTTGGTAAAAGAAATATCCTAAGAAATCCTAAGTTTCCCAAATATCATGCTTATTTGGGAACTAGCCGGCTAATTTGCGCCCGTCCGAGCTAGTTTGTGATGAGCGTATCGGTCTGTTGAAGACGCAATTTCAAGACTCGGCATAATATCCTGAGTCTGAAAATACCGGGTAATTTGCAACCTGCAAACTCGAGCTGATGAAGACAGGCCTATACACAACTGTAGTCAATTTAAAGGTAAATCCCATTCTGGTATCAAGTTAGCTTTTTTTTTTTAAAACATAGAAATGAGAGTTAAGCAGATCAGTAAAAGATTGAGGAAAATCTGAAAAACAATAAGGAAGTTTACAATCTAGAAAGTTGTATCAGGAGTCTCAGGACAATTACCCCTGGGACAATCACCCCCCCCCCCCCCCCCCCCCCGGACAACTACCCATTTTAACAATTATCCCCTAGACAATCACCCCAGGAAAATTAGGGCTTATTGGGGCTTATTACAGGAAACAACCAGTTCCCGTAGGAAATGGGTTAATAAAACTAATTCTCAGGGTTGACCTCCCCCTTTAACATCTATGTACAGTTGCTTAAAGGGGACTACTACAATGACCAAGGATGACTTTTTGAGCATTGACCTCAAAGACAAAACTGGGTCAGGGGCCAAAACACTGCAACAGCTGGATGGGAGGATGGAATAATATCCCTATCATGCCATTTAAAGCTACATGTACTTAAACTAAGGGTCAACAAAATAATATATTCTATCTTTGAATTTGATCAATGAATTTTTATGAAATGTCTACCATATACAATGTATATGCTTGACTTTTGATTTTTGTCATATTTTGTGTTATTTCAATTTGAATTGCAATTGTATTGTATATATATCCTTGTGAAATGGATCGCAATTCAGCCATTGGCTGCGATGATCTTTTTAATAAAAACCATTTCTATCTATCTACAGGTACGGTATCTACATTTAAATTTTACATGGTTGATTCAATATTTAGTATTTTTTGAAAGAGTACATCTCCTTTTATGTACTGTACATGCACATGAAATTCTTACTTCAGACTGAACATTTGTTATCAAGTAAGGATGTTGTGGGGGCAGTTTTAACTTAAGGATTTTCTTATCTTTGAGGGAGGGGGCAGCGTCTATCTGATGCCAATTACTAGCCTCCTGAGTTGAATCTTTGACCCCCATACCTTCTGGAAGCATGAGCTGTCTCAGTTGGACCTCAGTTAAAAATAGTCATGACTAGAATGTGCTATTACAAGAACGTACCTTATTTTCAATATACATGTAAACCAGTGCTGGTATTTATAATCTTATGGGATCTCAAGGCAGTTTATCCAGTCTTAAATCCCCCTTTTGTCCCTCGTGCACTTCACCATGTGACTCAGGGTACTTAAAAATAGACCCCTTAACTTGGGTTCAGACTACTGAAATTCAACGTATAGCTACATGTATATGAGAATCGTATAAATATGTACATGCAGCTATACGAGCTATTCTAGCCTGAATGTTTTTAAAAAGAAACGCCAGATCACGAATCGTTGTATGTAGCGAAACACCTGTTCGAGCATCATTTTTAATGAAAACTAGAGTTTAAGAACCAACATCCTGCTCAAACCTAAACGTAATATCGTACAAAAATCGTCTAACTGGGCGGGGCTTATCACAAGTACACATTGGTCAGCTATCATGTCACCTGACCTCTTCAAAATTTGTTTCTTCATAAAACGTTTCTTCACACAATGTTATACTCTAGTCTGTATGCTCGGACTATCGCTGTTAAATGATTTTGTTTAAAACGTTTCTTTAAATGAGTTTTGTATAAATTTACTCTAGTGTGAACACACAAGTCACTTCAAAATCTATTACTGTTACCACAAGAAACACCTGTCTTTGTAACACATCCCCCTATAGTCAGTATGCGTGACTATCGCCAAAAGACGCAATGTGGGTCATTGACAATCCACCAATATAAACTGGTGATCTTGAGTTTCTTTCTTGGGAACATAGTGTATATATATATACAAAGCAAAAGAAAGAAAAAAAAAGTCATTCTATTAACCTGTGATTAATGAATGAACTACAATACTTGGGATCAAGTTAGCATACATGTACATTACTTGTTGCTATTTAGGGCAAGCCTCAGCCAAGCTCTCAGGTTGTCAAGAACAACCTTTCTTTAAAAAGAATGCAAACAATTTGAATATGTTATTAAACCGGTCTTTTGCATACTCTGTGCTTCGTTTCATTTGATTCTGTGAGAATTTATTTTTCATCATTACCAGAACTTAGAGCTGACCCATTAAAGGGATTGGTTAACTTTGTCTCAGATTCTGAAACGAAATCCTGGATTTAGCTAATGCTGCAATGATAATTATAAACCTTTAGGTCAGTCAGGAACCCCATGACTTTTACAAGCCGATCGCCTGTCTGACTATGAAGATATTTATGATTGGAAATCAAAATTTCAAAATTTTTGTTTTCCTATTTTTTATAACACTACGGTTTATTGGGAAAAATTAGTATAGTAAAACAGGTCACTCAAAGATTTTTACTGTGTTGAGGCACTTCATGATCATTTTTTAGCGCAATATTTTTAGGGCTTCAATATTATACCATATCACAGACACTGATAACACGTAGGGTCGTCCATCTCAGTTTCAACATTGTTAAACAATGCCTTTAAAGTTTGAAAGAATTTCACTCACAAAAACACAAGCCTGGGTGAAGTCCCCATAGTTTGGAAAGACGTCCGGCGAACCTGCCAGGTTAGCGGCGACGTATGCCATGGAGCCGTCCCCTCCATACTGTGAACTGAAGTGTATGACCTCCTTGGCGAACTGACTGAGCTCGGTCGAGGAGGAGTAGGCTGACATGGTAGAGGGGGATAGGGTGATCTTCTCCATACAGGTCGGGCTGCAGCCCATGTAGAGAGAGGGAGCCTTGGTGTGTCAGCTGCAGCAAGATGGTTCCTGGAAAACACATAGTTGAAATTTGAGAAAATGAAATTTGTAATTGGATTTTGGAATTTTAAATTGTAATCTTCTCCATGCAGGAAAGGCAGCAGCCCACGTAGAGAGAGAGAACCTTGGTGTGTCAGCTGCAGCAAGATGGTTCCTTGAAAATACATAGTTGAAATTTGAGAAAATGAAATTTGTAATTGGATTTTGGAATTTTAAATTGTAATCTTCTCCATGCAGGAAAGGCAGCAGCCCATGTAGAGAGAGAGAAGGGACCTTGGTGTGTCGGCTGCAGCAAGATGGTTCCTGGAAAATACATAGTTGAAATTGGAGAAAATGAAATTTGTAATTGGATTTTGGAATTTGAAATGGTAATCTTATCCATGCAGGAAAGGCAGCAGCCCATGTAGAGAGAGGGAACCTTGGTGTGTCAGCTGCAGCAAGATGGTTCCTGGAAAATACATACCAGTAGTTGAAATTTGAGAAAATGAAATTTGTAATTGGATTTTGAAATTGGAAATGGTAATCTTCTCCATGCAGGAAAGGCAGCAGCTCATGAAGAGAGAAAGAAGGAACCTTGGTGTGTCGGCTGCAGCAAGATGGTTCCTGGAAAATACATAGTTGAAATTTGAGAAAATGAAATTTGTAATTTGAATTTGAAATTGTAATAATGGTAATCTTCTCCATGCAGGACAGGCAGCAGCCCATGTAAAGAGAGAGAGGGAACCTTGGTGTGTGGCTGCAACAAGATGGTTTCTGGAAAATATATACACTGTACATGTAGTTGGCATTTGAGAAATTGGAATTTGGAATTGAATTTTTGAATAGTAATTATGCTAATCTTCTCCATGCAGGACAGGCAGCAGTCCATGTAGAGATACATAGTTGAAATTTTATAAATTTGAATTTGGAATTTGAATTAGGAATTTGAATTTGGATGTGGAATTAGGAATTGGAATTATGTTTTTCTTTTCCATGCAGGTCAGGCAGCAGTCGATGTAGAAAGAGAGAATATGTGAATGTTTGGCCATTAAGATGGTTCCTGGAAAATATTGAAATGAAGTTTGAGAAATTGAAATTTTGAATTTTGAAATTGAAATTAGAAATGAGGGTAATATTCTCAATACAAGTCAGGCCACAAACATGTACATGTTAGAGAGGGAACCTTGATGTGTTGGCTTTGGCAAGACAGTTTTCGGCAAATTACATAATTCATATTTGAAATTCATTAGAAATTACAAAGTAGAAATCATGGTAATCTTTTCCATGTAGGTTGGGCATCAGTCTGTACATGTATGTATAGAGAAGTTTGACTTGGGTTTTGCGCGCTCCCTATTCTATGCAAGTACGTACGCATGTGTTATCATTAGTCTACTTAGAGCGGGAGACGTTTTACCTGTGACCGAGAGTGTATTTAGACTGCAATATCTCTTTGTAGAAAAAATATTTGAAAACAATTATGGCATCATAGAACCTCTTACACAAAGAGAAAAAAATGTTTTGGGGATCGGTATACCTTAAAGATAAAGACCAATTATGGTCATGCAATTGCATTGTGAAAGAAACATTGTGGAATCGATCAGAAAAGGTTGATCATCTAGCATATAAGTATTGGTGTGTACTGCAAGGTTCTGGAATCATCAAAATGATAAGAACTTGGCCCAGTCTTCGTAAAGTTACAAGCACTGTACACATAAAGATGTATATGGGACTACGCACACGTGCGGGACACATGCGTTTATCTCTCACTTAACAATATATAAACTAATTTACTAAATATATCAATTAGTAGGCGGTTTCCCAGCAAAATTTTTATCATCATGTATTAGTTAAATTATATTCTTTCACATGATTGGTAATAGGAGCTTCCATTTCATTTTTTGAAATTGGGGCATTTCCAATACTGGTCTTTACCTTTAAAGTGCGTAGTCACCCGAAGAGACAGAAGTGTTTTGAATTGATGCAAAATTCATATTATTGCGAAGGGGAAGTCTTACTGATCAAATGTAACAAATTCCCTCTTCAAAATATGTTTGGGGCCTGCAGTAATCATCTCTCAAAATGTTAATTTTGAGATCCGATTTTCTGCCTTCACCGGTCCTCCGTAAATCGTCAAGATTTGTGATGTCACAAGCGAGACACAGCTAGCCCCAAAAATGCATTTTTATGCCTTTCCATGAAATCTATATGATTTTTCAGCAAATTATTCATGTTTTTCAAGAGGAAATCTTTCTATCCATATATAATTTATCCAAAATTATCAGTTGTCATTAATTTTCTTTGGGTGACTACTTTAAATGAATTGAAGACATCACTCAGAAGTTACATGAGAATAATGGCCTAGGCCCCAGAGCATAGTTTTGTTTAAATATTAAAAAAAAAACAACAACAACCAAGAGACATGGATGAAACAAGTTTAAGGAGGACAGACACCTCAGAAACTGATGCTTTTTTTTTTTGGGGGGGGGGGTATTTAAAAAAAATTGAAAATAAAACTCAACGACATAACATATTTACAAAAATATATCAATAAAGTAAATGGATGTATACAGAACACGATACAACACAGGACAACACAACACAAAACAAAACAGCACAACACAAAGACAATGCCTCACTATATAGTCACCCTGACATGCATGCATCAAGGTTACCGTATATCGTCGCCTGGGTGGCAGAAGGGCGTTAGCTCGAATATCAGGTAAAAAATGAAGCGCTAAGCAGAAGGGCGTTAGCACTAAATCGCCTCAAACTTTTTTTAAATGACTTATTTCCGAAAACAATTTATGGCCGTGTTCTACTATAACATAAGTCTTTTAAGTTTTGAACCAATTTTCGGGACAGAAAGCAGTTTAAATATAAAACAAATCTTTAAATGCTAATAATTCGAAAAGTATTTTTTGAGTTGTTTGCACGCTAACACCCTTCTGCCAGCCGGGCAACAATATATTATGCAAGAAAACCAAGACTGGAGTGATGCATTTTTCATTACATGAACCACTAGATCTATATCATGGAGAACATTTGTTTACTTTGTCATTACTCATTAGCTTGGCATATCACTCCAAGACTATTCATCAAAGGCATTGTGTATGTTGATCATATTCTCGGTTTGCCCCCAGTAGCTGATTTCTGCATGCATTAATTTGCCAAAGGTTTGTTGATCTACAAATGCATGAATTCAACTCCACAATTAAAGTGCATAAATGTACATGTAAATATATTTTCTTTCCATAGCTTACAAATTTGGGAATACTTTAAGTTAAATACATTCATGAAATATTCTTTAAAAACTAAGAAAACAGAAAATTTCTCTTTTTTATGTGTCTGCATGAAAATTTATTCTAAAAGCTTAATGCATGTTCCTATGATGAGCATTGAATCATGGAATTCCATAAATTTCACCTGCCAATAACATCCAACAAACTGACAAAAAGTCACCACAAAGTCTTAATTATAAAAGAGGAGAATCTCAGCTTTATAATAATCCATAACTCACCACAGTTAGATGTTCCTACCCTAATGACAGAAGAGAATCCTTTCCATTGCCAAAGAATGCTACTTTAGAGGAAAATGGCATTTAACATCTGCAGGTATTTTTGAAACACTGACTCCCAATGAACTGCGCAAGGTGACAAAAAGAGGATTAAATCTCTATAGAAATGTCTGTGATGGAAGGCAAGCAACAATACCATTGTCCTTAAACTTGGTACATCAATTATGTACATCCTAATTTTTATTTGTCTAAGTTGAGGGGTGGTCAAATGCAAAATGCATGTTCCTATGAAGAGCATTGAATCATGGAATTCCATAAAAATCACCTGCCAATAATATCCAACAAACTGACAAAAAATCACCACAAATAATTTGTTAAGGTTAAGTCGTAATTATAAAAGAGGAGAATCTCAGCTTTATAATGATCCATAACTCACCACAGTAAGATGTTCCTACCCTAATGAAAGATGAGGATCCTTTATTTTTGCCAAAGAATGTTACTTTGGAGGAAAAAGGTAATTAACGTCTGTAGTCTGCAGGTATTTTTTAACAGTCTGAGTCTGACTCTCAATGAACTGCGCAAGGTGACAAAAAAGGATTAGATTTCTATAGAAATGTCTGAGATGGAAGGAAGTCAAACAACAATCTCATTGTCCTTAACCTTGGCACACCAATTAAGCACTTCCTTTTTTTATTTGTCTAGGTTAAGGGGTGGTCACACATGCATTAGCCTCCATAGCTATTTGTAGGAGGGATTACCAAATACAGATAGCCATATCATGGTAAGGCTATGTTAAGCTAGGGAGTCTTCCACTAGCTTTACCTTATTTAACGTATGTGTGACCAACCCTTAAAGGTACTACATGTATGTCCCATTTACAGGCCCAAAAAATGAAAAGGTTGAATTCCAATGGCATTTGAAAGATAATACTAATTTAAAACTTCCCTCAAAACAAAATAAAAGGGCTTGAAAGTGGCATAGTGGGAAAATAACAACCATTAGTTGTCTAATCGACTTAAGCGATTGCAGTCACCTAAGTATTGTCTGATTTTCAGACCCTTTTACCGAATGGTTGTATGTTTTGTGATGCACAAGGATTCAATCAGTTTAATTTAAGCTAATACAAGTAGTGGGTTTATTGATGTAGACAAAAGCTCATGTACCTGTTACAGCTCATTTTATTTACATGTACATGTATGTTATTACCAAAGAAAAAAAATGACAGTTGAGTCAGTCACTCAATAGTGTCTGACAGTGAAGTCTAGAAGGTAAAGAGGGTTTCCTTGCATAATTTGAATACTAGTTCACTGCTAATGTTTACATTTTACAGATAGGACATACATAGCATCTGAATAAAAAGATTACCTATATTGGAACTCAGTGTTATATTGCTCTGGTTCATAACATTACCAGCCAGTGCAATATAACACTGAGGCAATTTTTTTATTCAGATGGTCATATCTCAGCTAATACTGAAAGATAAAGTTGAGTTCTGGTCATGCGATTGCATTGTGAAAGAAACGGTGTGGAATCGATCAGAAAAGGTTGATCATCTAGCATGTAAGTATTCATTTGTATTGCAAGGTTCTGGAATCATCAAAATGATAAGAAATTTAGCCAAGTCTTGGTAAAGTTACAAGCACTGTACACAGAAGGATGTATATGGGACTACACGAACACATGGCGTAAAAATCCGTTCCGATTTTTACGATGTTATATGCCATATTTAGACTATAAAGGCATTTAAAGAGCCATGTTTTTCAGGAAACATGTTTTGTTTGATGTTCTTCCACCCTTGCATAATAACAATGATAATGCTCACAAATTATTTTTCACCTCTTCCCAGAACTTAACCGACTCTTTAATGGCCAAGTCCACTCCAAAAATAACTTACTTTCAATAGAAGCAGAAAAATCAGAAAAACCTATCAAAAGAAGTTTGAGCAAAATCGGATATCTAATAACAAAGTTACGACATGTCATGCTTTAAACGGGTGACGCACACACAAAATTGGACACACATAAAATAGACAAATCAACAAACATTTCAGAATAAATTTCCAGTTCGTACCTTAAATATGACAAAAATGAGAATTGTTCAAACTTTAAAAATATTTACGGAAGACTTAAACTTAAGTGAAATACTTACCTTTTAAGGATGATGAAAAAATCATAACAGAAATAGATTATCTAGTCGAGGGTTTGACTGAAATATCATAATTTCGGACGAAACAGAAAATCTCTTCGCACTAATATCTTATAACATAGAGCCTATGGGAACCAGCGATAGCCAATCTGAAGGGCCCATGTCAGCTAGGCTAGGCACCAACTTACGAAAATGAGGCTACGATCGGATGAACGTCCTGCGCATGTGCTAAATATTTAGAGTAAAGGAGCCGGTTTTCGGCCACTTAAGACACAATCCTTTTTTTTTGGACCCTTTACTTCCTATTTATTATCATTTCTTGTTCAAATCATGAAGCAAATATTATTATTATTTAAACAAAAAAAGATTCCCAGAAAAAAATCACGAATTGCCATGACAATATTCATTTCAATTTTCACTGTTTTGGAACCGGTTATCGACCTAGCGAGTCAGTTTACGACCGCATGTACAAAGTCAATAGGAAGCGCGTGCGCGACGTGCGTTTTCGCGCTGATCTATAGCACAAGAGGGCGGAGCAGGTATCCCACGCCGGAGCTCCCCGGAGCTCGCTTGGTCGAGAACATAGCATTCTTCCAGAATCTCAGGTAAAGGTAAAGTAAAGGTAAAACTAGCACTGCGGTGATCGGAAATTGGAGTTTGAATTAGACGGACATATCGTGTGTGCGTCGTGGTGTTCGGCTGCATTGATTTAATACATGCGACAAGATACTTTTGAGCTTTTGAGCTTTTGTGATAACGCCATTACGAACGTGTAGATGGCGCACAGTTTTTCCTTCATAATCGTTTTGCCTTCGGCGTAGACTAGAAGGGATGAGATTGATTTAGATGACTCCGTGCGCAGCGAGAGTTTACACGGCTTGCAAGATTTCAACATGGATGTCGATTTTGACCCATAATTTCCTTAAAAGGGACCATTTAACGGATTATTTCAGTCAAGTTGGTAAGTGGAACCGACGTAGTATAACATTCTCCTAATTTTAAATAATCAATGCATGAGGTAAAATGACATTTTGGGGGATTTTGGGGGCAAAACGCTACGACCTGAAATGGCCGTGGCGTTATCAAGGGAATGTGTATAGACGGTTTCCGTCTCTAATTTCTAAAGAGAGAGCCGACCCTACCCCAATAAGAGGCTAACGAACGAAAGAGACGGAAAATTCGGTCTACGTGTAGAGCTGCAGAGGCATTTCAATTTTATTAGGGTGTCTGAACGATTTTTCAATTTTCAATTTGGGATCGTTTTTCACCATTTTTGTTTGATATTTGAATTAAAAATGTAATCAGAATGATACATTTCAAATTTCATGTCTCACCGATGTTTCTATCAAAAGATACAGCCCCTTCGAAACGCTGCAATATTCATAGCATTTTGATCAGAATCGACGAAAAAGACGTACACGCAGAGTTATGTTGTTTTGCTAAATTTAGCCAAACAGCTGTATCGCGCGATATGCAAGCTTATGCATATCGTACGCATGTTGCTCAGCCAATGCGCGACTTGCAGCTTGAGCCACGTTGTCCCCGCGCTATTTGCCATTGACTAGTATGGATAGCCATTACGCACAATAATACCCGGAAGTGAATACACGTTATAGTCAATGGCAATATCGGGGAGACAACGTGCGTTGTCTCCGCGATATTGCCATTGACTATAACGTGTATTCACTTCCGGGTATTTTTGCGCGAACGGCTAGCCATACATTCATTCATGTTTCGTTCGTACGCGGAGATGTTACGCGATGTAACCATGGTTTGGACTGAGCGGAGCGCACGCCTCCCTAATTAGCTGATTCCAAAAATGTGGGAAGGGTATTTTCAAACCGTTGTAACAAATGATCCCTTGGGGCTAGCGAAAAAAAAAGGACCTGAATATTATCCTTACGTCTAGCCCTGCTTAAGCCGCGGGGGCGCAGCTCAGGAAAGTGGCAAATTTTGGAGCTAGGATGCAAACAACATTTCAATCGCTGTTTTGACCAAGATATTTTTAGAATTCTGGGGGTGGCCCCCGATGGTGAATATGGAGAAAAACCTGCTCTTTCATATGACACCTCATTTATTGAGTTTCACCTTCAGGATCATTTGTTATAAAGGTTTGAATTTCAAATTTTTTCATAAAATCATTGACCAATTTTGGATGGTTGCGCAATGCACGTAGACCACATAGGGATGCGTACAATCTCTATGGGAAGGGTTTTAGCACACAACATTGGGTGCGCGATCAGACACCCTAATTTTATGTCAGTCAAAAAATTACACCCTCAAGCTGTTTTGAAAGTCACCACTTTTGAAAGTCCATATGCTATCATCTCGTCAGTTTTGATTTCTTTAGATACATGTACAGCACCCCCCCAACATGGTCACAGTCACACTCACAGCTCAACAACAAAAATCACAGAGAAGAAAATTAAACACCTTGCACAGAACCGAAGCTGTGGGACTGCTCGTGAAGCCCTGAGCATCGTCATTGGTTAGATCTAAACGTAGCCACTTGATCTGCATTTTCTTTCACAGTTTCTTCGGATATTCATAAGGAGAGAGAGCAAAATGATAATATGGCTACATACCTGAAGTTAATTGATGCCGAAAACTGGCAGGATTCCACAAAACTCGCGCAACAAATTTTCAGCCTTCCTTGGACTTATTATGGTATGGTACTATTAAAATGCAAAATGTGAAGGAAAGAAAATGCGAGAGTATATAAGCTAGATTAATAAGATAGGCCTCTAGGCAAAAAGTGGGTGGGTGTGGGTAGTGGGGCTAGCTAATAGCAAACGGTTAGCAAAGTGGTTAATTAATTTAAGAAAGCACTTAAATGTATTTTTGGTTTTTTGGTTATACTATGACTAAATTGGTTATATTTAGGGTTGAGGATTACAGGCCTTAAATTAATCCAAGGCCATGGCCGTGGATGCCCCTTTGATTGGCCTCAATGCCCCTCTCATTGGCCTTGGAGATTTTGTGTGCCCTTTCCAAAGTTCTTCCTATTTGTGCTGTAATATAGGAATGTGCCCTACAGAAAAGTGGCCTTGCCCTAAATTTGAAATTTTAGGCCTGGGATTAGGGTTAGGATTACCTAAGAAACTAAATTAAGTCTTTATATTAAGCTTTATTGGTGAAGTGTTGATTAACCTGCAAACAAGGGTCTCGATTTGTATCCGTGGTTGGGGGGGGGGGGGGGGGGGGGGGTGATAGGTGCTAACATATTTTCGGCAATGGATCAAAGCAACCAAGAGGTAGAACCGTGTGGCAGGTTGCACCCCTAGCTCCCTTCCAAGTTATTAACTTTTTCAAGTCACCCTCAATAAAATAACATTTCAGAGAATATAAGAGTGGTAATAAAATTAATAACATGCTAAAATAGTCCTGCATTGTAG